AAAATGATTAAACTAATAGTACACATCATCCCCAAAATTCCTACTGAAGAACTTCAGCCAAACAGAAGGATTGGCAGCAAGAGAAAAGGAGTTGTACCATACATTATGAATATTACCATCAACTGAGTTTAATTGTTCAACTACAACCATATAGCATTGAGCAATTGCACCAACTATTACTCCAGAGTCAAAAGAGGAGGAGGTTGGTGCTTTGCCATGAAGATGAACAAAAAGGAAAAACAAAAGAAAATAAGTTGAGAAAAGCTATAAGAAAATGGAGATCTAGACAATACAAAAGCTAGATTTAAACCAAAATCCCAAATTTTAGCACTCCTTAAGGACAATCAGAGCTGCCCCTCAACTCCACCAATGTGAATGTATAGAATATATAGAAATGTGTATATCAATTAACCCAAAAACCCTAGTTTATATATAGAAGCAAGTGATCTATATTAAAACCAATCTGACAACTACCAAAATCCCAATACGCTAATATTAGTATACTTGGACCTCACAATTATATATTTATTAAAAGAAATTTAGTAAAATTTTAAATCACAAGATGGCTGTAGGACTCTATGAAGCTGATTTGGGGTGCTAAATATATTTTAGAACTGTTAATCCAATGGTCTAAATTCATATAAATACTATTACATAGCATTGGTTTTCAAAGAAGTGGAAAGACATTTCAAAATACTTTTATGCTTTAGTCTTTCTCATTTCTCAATGGCATTTGCAATGGTTGCCACCAATATGTAAGCAACCAAAGGGAACGATTCAAGAGACGGTCCATGGGGTTCAAATATAGAGGGAAGGGGCCTATGAATAAGAGTGCACCTCCTTTTTCAATCGGTTAAAGGTCTTGGGATATTTGGGGTTAAGCGTCCTTGGGTTTGAATAGTACTGGGCTAGGTGACCTCCCGGGAAGTCCAAACTCAGAAGCGTTACATTTGGTATCAGAGCGGTCTCGGGTCCGACTCTGTTGGTTGGCTAAGGGAATCGCACCACATATTGATTGACATCTGGCTGGTCCAGTTTGCTCCCATTGGGCTCGACCCGAGGGGTAGGGTGTCAAAGAGAGCGGGGCTCTCAAGAGAGCTACGGCTCTCAGCTTCCGTTCACAAGGGCGTGAACTTGCAGGGTAGGGTGTCAAAGAGAGCAGGGCTCTCAAGAGAGCTACGGCTCTCAGCTTCCGTTCACGAGGGTGTGAACTTGCAGGGAAGCGTGGTGGATTGTAAGCAACCAAAGGGAACGACTCAAGAGACGGTCCATAGGGTTCAAATATAGAGGGAAAGGGCCTATGAATAAGAGTGCACCCCTTTTTCCAATCAGTTAAGGGTCTTGGGATATTTGGGGTTAAGCGTCCTTGGGTTTGAATAGTACTGGGCTGGGTGACCTCCTGAGAAGTCTAAACTCAGGAGCGTTACATTTGGTATTGGAGCGGTCTTGGGTCCGACTCTGTTAGTTGGCTAAGGGAATCGCACCACATATTGATTAACATCTGGGAAGTCCAAATTCAGAAGCGTTACACAATATTGTGGGAGCTCCAATATCACAAGCTTGTCTCTCTAGTGTCAAGCTAAAATTCTTCTAAATTTTGGGGATTTTTTATGGATCAAGGTTTTAGGTAATGAATAAAAAATTAAGATATGTGTAAACAACAGCTATTGGGCAAGTAGTAATGCAGGAAAATTTAATCATAATAAATTATGCTTATTCAGCCACTGCCATTATAAATCATATCCTCAAAAAAGGTACTAATTTATAAGAAACTATGTTATAATCATATCCTATAATATCTCAAAGTCCTAATTCCTTATTTATTTTCTTTATAGTTTATGGAAAAAATAATTTACTAATGAAAGATTTTTTAATAAAAATAAATATAGAATCATTATTATTGATATAAAAGTGTTTTATCACATTTTTATTTTTTAATATAAAAGAATAATTTCATTTTTTTATTTCAGCATTTAGAAGGTTATGTTCATTAGAAATGTCAAATAGTATAACTTATGGAGGTGGGCATTATTTCTGATTTAAAGAACTTCTTTAAAACATATTTATAAACAATATTGTAAATCTATTGTGAAAGCATGTTCAGAAAACTGCAGATTATTATACTTTTTAATATAATGCTTTTTTTTACCGAACAAGATGATAATTTACTTGAGAAAAATAAGATTTAAAGATACTATTTTAAGTGGAATATCATATATTTCTGATTTAACATTAACAACTTTGAATGCTGGATTTAAAAATAATATAATTTATAATAATAAATATTTAATTTCTAAAAATAGAGAGAATAATTTATTAGTAGCATCAAGCTATAAAATTTCAAGGCTATGTATTTCTGAATAATTTTTATGCATTACTTATTTTTACAAAAGTCATCTTGTATTATATACAAAAAATAAAAATAATAATGTGGTCTACTAAGTCACTGTCTTTTTGGATAAATCTTTAAACTATATTAACCAGAAATTAGAAAATAACTTTTTTTAACTTTCCAGGACGGAACCCAGAAGGATGAAGCGTCCAGCTAGACGAATCCAGAGTTGGTCAACTGGTTGATCAACTCCAGGACTGGAGATTATTATGGGCCCTTGGACCTTCAGAGATGATCAGTTCCATCGGGCCAGCCTCGTAATTACTATAGACCCAGAGGGCGAAGCTAAGCGTGAGGACCTGCAAAGTTTGCCTGCAGCACTGCTCAACGTGATCAAGGATATGATCGGCTTTGCAGACCCATGCCACCCAATCTCCCGGCGTCCAATGTCTGGTCATCACCCCTGTCGTCCTGCTGTTCAGCTCACGCACGCGCACAATCGACCGGGGCGTCGCTCACCCAGCCCTCGCGATTCTTACCAGGCTAAATAGAAACTTTTTAGATTCATTTGTGCCCATAGTTTCCTGGTAGCCAGGATACTAGCGGGATGTAATAAGCAGCGCCGAGCATTTCAGCAGAGTTGGCACCGATCTTGCAGTAGCACGGCGGAATCGCGTCGAAGGCCGCCCTGCCAAGCTCGAACCGCATGGCGGCGCGAGCAGAGAAGAGGCAATTCTTCGAGGCGATCAAGCTCACGAGTCTAAGGCCGCTCCAGAGTCCAGAGTCCAGACCTGTAATTATGGTCATGCCGCTGGAGGCGATCTCTTATTTCCAAAGTACGCAGTTTGTTCTATGCGAGCTGGAGGCCACTGAGCATGGTCCACGGCAGTGGATCTCCTGGATTTTGTTCGACGTGTTGGGGTTGTGATGCTGGCATCTGTGGGCAGGGGGAAGATCCAAGTAACTTAACCAAGTATAGAGTGAGACATGGAGTTTGCATTGTCCAATACTTCCATGCAAGGCGATTACGAGCCACAAGGTGGAACTTACTGTCAATCAGCGTTACCTCAACCTCAAGAAGTATTGCAAACCACGTCCCAGGAGATTGGTGGTGAGTTTCCTCAAGAAGTGTTTAAGCAAGGTGGAGGAGCCACTTGTTGGGGACAAGCCCAAGATGTAGGTGGTGCCAGCGTTTCCTCAGAAGTTTTTGCCCAAGGTAGAGGAGATATGCAAGCCACTTGGCAGGCCCAAGACTTTGCTGATATCTTTATTGACGTCGAGGTCTTCGCTAAATTCATGGAAGGCCACAAGAAGTTGCACTTGGATTACAAGTGAATCGGATTACTAAAGTGATTGCAACCAAACTTGATGAAGGAACTCATCTCGTTGCGATCTCCCAAATCGCGAGCGCGCTCTATATCGTCGATGATTTCTTCTTTGACTTGCCTGCTCTTCATTCCAAGCGGATGGCACGTTCAACAGGTAAGGAACTTAGCCATCTTGTTTCTTATGTACTGAACGTCTTGCATGTCATAGCCTGCTTCACTGGCTTCCAGATAGAACTCATCAGTCATCGTTTAGAAAAGAACCGAAACGAATATTCGAGTTCCACACGAATATTCGAATCTATGCGATGATTCACATCCACTTAAATTCAAACCAACCGCGCTCTTTCGCGCTCTTCTTCCATGGCATCTCGGGTCTCAAGCCCGCGGCACTCGGTGTCTCCCAAGCGAGGCTTCTCCGTGCTGGGCCAAGTGAGAAGCGTGAGCAGGGATGAGATCCGGCAAGAAGCTCTCCACGACCCATTCCTCGAGGTGTATCGATCCGAAAAGAGGCCCCTCTCTCCCCGGAGCCTCACGCACTCCCCCTCCAAGGAGCTCACCTTCATCGCCATCAGCAAGTACACGGCCCCGGATGGCAGCGACGATCTCCGATCGCTGGGTCGGAGCGTCACCACGCTCCAGGAGCGAGTGGAGGTCCAGGCCAAGGAGCTCGAGGCACAGGCGGCTATCCTGGAACAGCAGAGCCGGGAGATTAAAGAGCTCCAGCCCATGAAGGAATGGTTCCAGAAGCAAAACATGGAGCTCTACTGGTCGAAAGTTGGCTCACCGCGAGGAGTGGCAGCGTTTGAGATCCTGGCCGAGGTCCGCTCCATGCTGTCCAGAGTCATGCACAACCACATCTCGTCAGTCATCGAGACTATCCAGAGCGAGGACAGTGGCGATTCAAGCGAGCAAGCAGTCGTGTGCGAAGAAAATGCTGCTGCAAGCAGCGCGAGGAGGGGGAGCAAACGCGAGCGTCGGGAGCATGCTGATGCATACAGGCAGCTGTTTGGGAAAGGGCCATTCCGGAACAAGAAATTCAAGCACGGGACTTACGAGGACTTACTGATGCATGTGGTTGCCAAGGAATCCGCCAACGAGGCTGTGGATCCAGCCTTGACTGATGCACTCGAGGCGGCGGAGGCGGAGTTCTATCTGGAAGCCAGTGAGGCCGGCTATGACATGCAAGATGTTCAGTACATAAGAAGCAAGATGGCTAAGTTCCTTACCTGTGAGAGGAAAAAGCGGAATGAAGCGTGCCATCCGCTTGGAATGAAGAGCAGGCAAGTCAAAGAAGAAATCGTCGACGATATAGAGCGCGCTTGCGATTCTAAAGACCTGGGAGACCTCAACGAGATTAGTTCCTTTATCAAGTTTGGTTGCCTGCTCTTCAGGCGCCACAATCACTTGTAATCCAATTTAAAAGTGCCTCAATGAAGAGTGGTAGAAGCAGAAGGAAGACGAGGGCGAATTACATTTAGAGCACCTCTTGCAGTCGACTGTAGACGTAAAATTTGCACCTCCGTAAGTAAGAGTTTGAAAAGAATAGCCTACCTCAAAGAAAGAGTTGTAGTTTAAACGTAGAAGAAACTGCCTCAAGAATGGTGCTCGCTGGCTTCCTGCTAGTTTACTACTTCGCAAAATTGTGTAAAGCGAGTTCGACTTCTTGTTGAACTCCTGAACAAACAAACACTGTGATTATCGAAACTTCCTAATTTCAAACAAACTTACCTCCGTTATTTGATCCAGCTCAGCAGCTGTAGAACTCGAAGTGGCATCTTGATGTTCCATGATGCGGCACAACTGCAGGCATAGTTTGATGATGCTATCCAGTATCCTAGACACTGAACCAATATCTAGAAAAGACTGAGATATTAAAGCTGACAAGTACCTGCAGAAAGATCAAGCTAAAAACATTTCAGAATCTGCAAAGAACGTTACTCTTGATGAAATCGAGCCAATTCTGTAAAATCTTTTGATGCCTGAACGCGCTCTTGCAGCAAATTCCATTGAGACTCGATGACATCCACCTGAGCGAATTAAGAACATTTCGATCATGAGTTCTGTTGAATCTCTTACCTGTATGTAGAACTGTAGATTTGTTATCAAATAGGCCATATGTTGTCGAAGCCTCCAAGTAGGCATACCCGAAACTTTGGGATCATCCTTCTTGTGGTTTTTCTGACGGCCTCGGGATTCCCTTCGATCACGCTGCATGGCTTTTGCCCAAGATTTCTCGAGCTCAAGCTGAATCCGCTTCAAACGAAGTAGATACTGGAACACCTTGCTGTATCTGCAATAAACCTTGTAAGACCGTGAAAGATGTTATAGGACCTACTTGGCCAAAACTTCTCGATTGAACAGAAGCTGCAGCGGCCAGTCGATGCTATATTCCAGCGCAATGCCATCCCACCCATCATAAGAAGGTCCAACCGCAATGTCCGACAGTGCATCGATGCTGGACCTTTGCTTCACCTCCATCTGTGAAGGAGGGAGTCCAGAGTTTGCTAACAGTGGCATCCTGGACATGGTTAAACACGTTAACAAGCACCAGCATCAATTAAAAGCTTTACCTTAAGGTAACTCGCGAGAAGTACTTGTCCTCGTCGCCTATTGTCTTTACTGCAGCCTGTGCCGTGATTTTAAACATTATTGATTGCAAAAGATGTTTTCTAATACCTGCTGAAAAGGTGCTTTGAGATCTGCCTCTGCCGTCGATGGCCTAGGAGGAAGCTTCATCAAAGATCGGCTCTCTTCCAGAAAACACTGACAATCAAACAGTCAGTACGAAGGCAATACATTAGCTCACGTACCTGGAAAAAATCTCCCTTAGCAAGAAGAAAATAGTCTTTGAAGGCTTTCAAATGGCCAACCAAATCCGCGTGAACTACCACAAGCTGCAAGAACCAGATAAAAAAGGACAACTTGGATTGAAAAAACTACTCATACCTTCCAAAGATGTGTGGCCGCGATAGTGCGTATAGAATCAATAGAACGTTCAAAAGAAAGTTTGTGGAATAGTGGTCTTTCCTAAAAAAGCAAACCATCAAGCAATCGGGAAAACTGGAGTAATGGCAAAAGTACCTGAAGTTCGCGAAGCAGTGAGCCAATCTTTTCAGCTTCTTCTTTAGGTAGAAGTTCAGGTCCTTCGTACGCTCCACTGAATGAGTACTGTTTCGTCAAAGACGACGAAGCACTTGGATTACGAAGAACTCTCACTGCTTTGCCGACAAATAAAATAGACTCCGCTACCGGTAATTGGATGTAATCTGGTAGCATGTCCTATACAAATTACAAGATATGTGACAGTCGAACACAAGACGCTATAATGCATACCAGTCGAACACAATATCCGGTGTGCCAGTCGATCATATTGGCATCTTCAGTGCCACGCCCAGACTTGGATTTATTTGCTGGTGGCTCGGACGCATCTATGTCCGCTTTCGCCTGCTCGTCTTGAGTCCTGCCAGTAAAGAATCAGAACGTCATTGTGAGTAGCACAAGAATACCTGCTTATAAAAAACTCTTGATTTTGATCCTGTAGAAGGCCATATACCATCCACCCCGAAAGCTGGCGATACATAACCTGGTGTGCTTGCCATAGTAATCTGTAAAACGAAACAAAAGTAAAACGAAAACGTCTTCCTCAAAACTATTTCCCTTACCTTTGGATCCAGGTCTGGAGTTCTGGGATGCCGCAGTGAGACCTTTCATGCAAAAAATTTAAGAGCTTTCCACCCCGTAGCTTCTTTGATTCCACCTCTCGGACCAAAGCATGTAGTGGAGGCAACAACAAATCAAACTGCTCTAAAGTCAGACGACAAGCAAAAACCAAAGAGACAAGGTTCTTACTTGCTTGAGGCACTGCGTGACGATGGCCAAAACCGGCAATGGATCAGCCAGAATATTTTTCTCCAGCGTAAGAACTGCCGATCGATACTTGGCAAGAACCTCGGTCACTCCATTCGCCACTGCTCTCTGGTAGACGCTGTGCTGCTGGACGACAGCCTTGGAATCCTGGAGAGCTCCAATCCAGCTAAGATTTCGCGACTTCAACGCGAAGCGATCCAGCTCCCGGTAGTAAAACCCCAGCCGTAGCAGCCGCTCGAGAATTTCCCTGGATTTTCAGCGATCAAGGCAAAGAACACAAGATTTCTCCGCACAAACCTCTCAGACGGCCGCAAGAACTGAAGATCCGGCGCAATCCGGAACGTACATTCATCGCTGCTCGCCCCGTCAGGATCATCCTGTGCGTAGTGCCTGCTACCGTCCTTGAATCCAAGGCGCCGATCCTCCTCGTCAGCATCGATGAACACATCGCCAGTGCATCCGACCAGCGCTAGCAGGAGCTCGTGAAGCATTCTTCAAGCAAGCCAGTCCCAAAACCCTAGAGAGTAAAGGCTAATCGAAAATAAAACGATTTTGAGCTTGCCTCGTCAAATACTTTGTCTATAGATGAAGTGACTAAAGCTCGAGAATAGTGCGACTAATTTACAGCTCATGGACTTGAATGTGTGCCTATCAATTCAAGGATATCTGGATCGATAGACCTGCTGTTTTTATGATCTGTGTGTCTTGATTTTGGAATTTCACCTGATGTGGGAGTTGTAGATTGTGTATAATTAGCAGGAAGAAAGCAATGTTGTATATGAACACCAAATGCAAATTCTCAAAGAATAGATTAATCTTGTGTTTATAAATTATATACATGTTTATAATATATTGACAGTTAACACTATTTTCTAAAATTAACAATTAATGAGATTTTGATTATTTTATTCAATGATAATATCTGGATTGCATTAATAAAAAATATACTACAGTATGATTAAACAAGAATTGAAACAAATAATGGCAAACAAATGAAGTTCTGCTTCAAAGCTCTATATTTCATTACTAATTTAATATTATAGTTTACAGTAATTAATTTATATATTGAGAATATATACCTAAAATAAATAAAAATAAAAATAAAACATTTGTTCAATGCTTCTTTGGCACTGGCACTAAGAGATTGAGATAGAGTAGCATTAGAACAAACCATAGATCTCTATCAAATAATGCAGAAGAACAACTAAAAGCCTAGTTTGGTCTTGTTCGGCATGATCACAAACTCAAGAGCTAGGGACTACTAGGCAATCTTATGACTCTTCCAAAATGTTGAGATTAAGCCAAATATAATTCTCTTCAACAATCTTGATTAATAAGCAAAGAAAGTCACACTTGCCATAGATGATAAGCTATGACCTAAAGCCATTAAAGATAACTCTTAACATCCTCATCAACATATATACTAATGTTGCTTGACAAAGTCTTAGATGTTTACAACACTATCAAGTGGAAGAAATGGAAGCTTGATATCCTCATTTACAACATGCACTCAAGTTCTGCGTGGATAACAATAACATTTATAAGGGCAAAAGCTTGATTGAAGATATGGAGAGGGGGAAGCAATTACTAAATTGTATGATTTACAGGATATTAAGATCTATACAATTAAAGATAACAGTGGCTATTGAAGTAGCCAAAGGGAAAAACCTAAAAATGATTAAAGGTTTTAACATTATAAAAACTGTGTGTTTATTAATTTAAATTCATCTCCAAATTTCTAAGCATCCTTGTATATAGTTATCCAATTCACAGCATGTCAAGATCAACTAGAAACATGAGGATATTGTAGTGGATGTGATAGTAAGCTCTAGCAATATAAAATAATAGTGTATATTAGAATTCTAGACAAGAGAAACCAATGCTAAAATGAATGACTTTTTAAAAAGTCCAAAGTAAAGAGCTTACACCTAGTATTAAAGAAGGATTAAGTTTGCTAAAAGAATCACATTATATATTAATATTGATATTTAGAAATTTAATTTATTTTACCTGAGCTAAACTTAAGTGGTAGAATATCAAAAGAGTGGCTTCTTAAGAAAGCCATGGGTAAATTCTATTTACAAAGGCATGAACTTGCAAGAAAGTATAAAGCAATAAAGGAAAGAAAGAGATTTATTAAGATTCAATAATAGAGAAAGTGAATAAAGGTCCCAAAAAGTCTAAACTAAAAATCTTACAACCATGTTTGACAAGTTCAAGAACTAAGCTCATACTCTATAAGTTATGACAATTATTTCTAGCTAAAGATCCAAAATGGAGCTCTGACCTAAAAAGTCAAGAGTGGGAATGGAATTCCTAAAGAAATATTTAAGGAGTGAATATGAAATAGTAATTTTAAAAAAGAGACAAAAAAAATGATTAACACTTAGAAGTGTCAAAACTGAAGCCTTAAAACCTGAGGACTAGAAGTGGGACAATGTTAAAATCATTTTCCCCAACTAAGAAACTAAGATATTTGGAGTTTGATATATCTTTAGGTGAAGTTTAAAGTAATCATCTCCCAAACCTTGAGGGGTTTGGTAAATCCTTATGAGATAATTGGGGGAGGACTCTACATAAGCCAATGTGACTAAAAAAGTATTATACTCATGCAGTAGGTGATGATATAAATATTAAGAAGTCCAAAACTAAAGTGAACCTTTCACCCTTATAGGTGAAAGTAAATTAAATGTATAATTCCCAAAAGCACCAATGCATAAAACTCATGGATTCAATATATCATTGCAATTGCAATTGCTTGTTCCTAATGGCCTATCCTTCCACTAATAGTTATGTGGTGAGGAAGTCTCAGAGGTTAACATGACTTAGTAGACAAGTCTTCAAGTTGACTTAAATGGCAAATATTAGCAAATACTATCGTGATTGGAAAAGGATTAAGTGGGATCAAGGAAAATACATTGGAGGATAGTGATTTTCTACATCTTAAGGTATTCTAAAGATGCTAATTAGTGATCATAAGATAGCCACTCATAGAATAGATTGGAGGGATGGGTTTATAGTAATGAATTACTAATGAGATAGTGAATACAAACATGGCTTTAGTGTAAAACATTGATATATTATTAATACTTTTAGGTGTCTGAAATGGGATTTAGACACATGGAATATTTGAACTATATGTACAGTTAATGTGGATATAAAGCTAACTTTAAGGTCATACTAATGACTCTAAGTTGGGATGAGGATTTATAGAGGTTGTGAATGAGACTCTTAAACTATAGATAAGTGATTAAAGTAAAATGGAAAATTTAATCACTTAAATTTACATTGATGTGGCAAATAAATTAATGTGAATTACAATATTATGGCAAATAAAGAATTAATATTTAGTATTAATATGTATAATAAACTATATAAATTTGGCTTGCATATCAATATGTGTTTATGCCTTGATCACAAAATTGCAATCAACATTATTTTTTGACTTATACATATATGTTTAAATAATTTAAACACATGTTTTATTGCAATATGATTGAATTATGTGCTACATCAGAACATCTGTGTACCTCTTTTAAATATATAATCATCTTTTGATTATCATAAATTTTTTATAAATATATAAAAAATTATAATCTACTTAAATATTGTCTATATTGATACAATATACTTTTCATTTTACCAAATACCTTATATTTTTGCTTATCTTTTCTCATTTACTTGATCATGCCATCTATTATAGTAGTAAGGCCATATAACCAAAATAAATAGATAAAACATTTGGCTCAAATAGTTTTTATAAAACACTTTAATAATTTATATATTATTATCTTTAAAAACTTTATCATGATTATAACTATTACCATATTATAAAAAAATTTAATATAAGAAAACTGAATAAAAAATAACTATAATTTTTTTACTGGGTCACATTCAAAATAATTTTACTCTTAATTAAATCCTTAAAATTTTTACTTACATACCTACTAGAAGCTTTAGTTTATATTTCATATTATTTATTTTTTCAATAATTTTGAATGGCTAAGATTATTAAACTTATCATTTTTAACATATTTAAAATTTAAAACTTATATACAGTAACCCTGGAATTGTAGCTTTGCCCATCCTTGAATCCAAGCCCTGTATTCTTTCATTCTAATATTAATTCTCACTATAGCTAGGGTCGTGACCGCACTATTTTCTTTACATGAAACTTTAATTAAAGTTTATAGAACCTTAGCTAAGTAAAAATATCCTTTTTTCTGTGTTGCCACATTGGAACACAAATAATTTAGCAACTCCCTAATAATAAAGATCAAAATTCCAATGAAATAAACGAGATTTGTGGATTCTAACATGAAAAACTTTTATAGTACAAGTGTAATTTTTCCCAATTTATTCCTTTGGTAGTGGAAATGCTATTAGGATTTTTATGATTTTTTTTTTTCGGTAAGAAGGATTCTAAAATGGTGACTCATTTGATGAAGATTTGTAGTCATGTATATATTAATTTTTGAATAAATAAATAATTTTACTTTATTTTAATGGATATCAAGAAATAAATATAGAAATTATATAAGCCTTTTATCTTGATAAGGTTTTCTAAGACTATATAAAAATAAATGATACATAGTTCTCTCAAGTGAAACACCAATAACAGTTTTGATTAAGAATGCCAAAATATATATTATTAAATTATTCAGATTATTAAATATTATCACAATTTTAATTTTAAATTCATTATTTTGACTGAAAGCCTTTTTAGAAAAAAATCAATTTTAAAAAAATACTTTTTAATTTAACTAAATAACTATTTTGTGTAATAAATATCATCCTTAAATTCAAATCTATATACATATAAATTGAGGTGCATTACATTAGATGTGATTGTTATTAAGAATTTAGACTTTAGTGTCAAGTTTACTATGATTTTCATCATTACCATATCTATTTATATAAGGTTCTATAGTAGGGATAGTTGTCAAAAGCATAGGCAACCACTGAAAACATGTGTTGCTCCTTATTTTATATCCAACTTAGGTTTAAGTTTGTAAGAAACTAACTCACTAAAATGTTGTAGGCTAGAGGATCCCTTAAAATCACAATTAGAATAGTAAAGGGTTCATTGGATAAGACTGAGTTTAAGACTGATTATGTCCAAGATTAAGTCCAAGAAGATTAAGTCCAAGATCAAGTTCAAGCCAAGTCCAAAATCTAAGATTAAATCCAAGATCTGAGATTACATTTGAGACTGAGTCTAATACTAAATTCGAAACCAAAGTACAAGTACTAATATAGGTTATAGGTTAAAAGCTCAGGGATGTGAAAAGTTTCAAAAGTATAATAAGGATAGGCCTTAGCATTAAAAACCTTCTCCAATGATGTTTTTAAATCAAGTTAGGATTGAAATTGGGGGTGAATAACATTAGGTGGGAATGAATGTGGGGAGTGTTAAAGAAGCTCCCAGAAAGGAAACTGACAACAGTGCTCCCAACTTAAGTGGTGTGGTGCCCCACTTTAGTACCATGAAAAACACTCTTTTCCATACACTGAACTTCAAAAATTCTTCTAGGGTGACATTGGCAATGGCTGGGATGTCCTTGCCTCACTAGGGACGTTTTCAGTGCCAAGAGATGCGGCTGTGCAACCAGCTCGAAAATCATGATGATGCAAATTGAGAAAGAGGATGAGGGCCATAACATTGTGGAAGCAGGCTTCGCGGGTGTATGGAATTGGAGCACAGGTAATGGATCAAACACTTGAGAACTTTGCAACTAATTGAACTTTCGTTTTACAAATTCTAAGGGACGTGGGTGTTAGAATGATGAAGCTCATGACAAACAATCCAGCAAAGTATATGGCATTGAAAGGCCATGGTTTGGTGATCACTCATTTCAGTGATCTCCACTATCACTGACGAGAACAAGCGCTACTTGGAAACCAAGCGCGAGAAAATGGGCCATGTCTATGGCTCGGACTTATTTCTCATTGCTGACAAGGTAAATGGGGAGAAAAAGAGCCAAAATTCTCTTTAATAATACGTCGAGTGTTCGAATCTCGGTAATCATCAAATTCTTTCCAAATTTGCAAGCTGGAAATTTCCGAACATGAAAAACTTTCCCATTGAGAGAGCAGCCTTACCTCTAACTGGTTTGGAAGAAAACTGTTGGACGGCTTTCAATGTCGATGCCGCTTTTGCGACTGACAGCACCTGGAAAAACTAGTGAGAAAAACCTAAAGCCGAAGAAGATCATCCAGGCTCTGGAAGAGATCGCTTCGAGCAACATGTCAGTCTCGCTGTTAATCTCTATGACCGCGGCACCTTTCTCGAAGTGTGCCAGTCCAAGCAATCCTTCCGCAGCCACACGAGAAGATTTCTTCGTCGCAGCAGCAAGACCCTTCTTCCTCGGCTCAGTAAACGCATTCTCTATAGAAAAAACCAAAGAAAAAAATAATTCTTCCTTCCTTTCCACAATCTCATCGAGAGCATACCTTCGTTTCACGTGACATCCTTGATCGGCGCTCCCGTCCGCTCGCGCAGAGTCTTGATGAGAAGGAAGCATCGACCGAGAACGATTTCGATTATTCTAGGAAATCCAGGCTCTTACAAATCGCCGTCGCCGCGCGCCATTGCAAGGTAGGGCTTGGAGCTGGACCACGCATCAATCACCAGAGAGCTTTGTGTACGCGAGCGACGCAGTCTCGGAAGTTGCCGCTATCACGCGAGAAAATGTGAGACTTCGAAGAGCTTTCTATATGTCTTCGCAAAGAGGGATCGTGTCCTCGTATTTGCACATGAGTATCAGGTACTTGTAAATTCCACAGTTTGCTCGTTTTTCACAGATTTATTCTGAAAGGCTTATCTCTGCTCGCGGGGCTCGTTTCGCTCGAGGTTGAAGATGGGCTCGCATTCGGAAACACTGAAAAGCTTGGGCTCGTCTCTTGCAATGCATGTTGTTGCTGCAAGGCCGCTGTTTTTGTCTAAGGAACTCGTGGACTCTGAAGCACTGGAGCATGAGCGGAACAGTTTTGTTGTTGCAGACCTCGACTGCTGGAAAAAAAGGTAAGTCCTTGTTACAGTTCAAGCCTTCATTTTCCCAGGCTTGAAAAGGATTTTGCTGCCGAGGTTGCTGCTGCTGCACGATGAGAGGTTTGATATTCAAAGTTTGCCAAAGACGCTGGCACATTATCTTGAGGACAATGAAATAAGGAACTGGAAGGTACTTCTTTTTTGCTGGAGTTAACTGACTTAGTTCTAGCCATATGGACAGCGGTGGCAATCGTTGTTATACCAATACCAGGCACTCGGGCGGCTTACACTTGCTTCCACTCCATTTCCATGCGGAGAGGCATTGATGGTTATACCAGTACCGGATGCACTTGTCGCCGTCCTAGTTCCATCCAGATTTTCATTGCCGCTGCTGCTGGATGTCCACTCCAACCAGGAGGATTGTCACAAACATGGCCAGAAGAATCAGCTGGGACTTGATCCTGGTAAAGGAAACTTTCGAAGTGTACTCTGTCTTTTAGCAAACTTTGCTGCTCTGTGGTGAATTGGAGGAGACCATTTATAGGATGGAGGAAGTGGAGCAGCGAGAGTGCTACAGCGGCACTCCGTTTGACTATTTAGCCAGCATATTGTGCTTGACGTGGCACAAAAAGCATATGCCGAAGTTTGTAGCATCGCTTCTTGTTGATGTTTGGCGCCTTTGCTCATTGTCACTCACGAGGTGTGAATACTGTGAGGAGGAAAACGGGCTCGCTCATCGTCGCCGCGCCCTCGTCAACCTGGGGTTCCAATGGAACTCGGCCATGCCAAGTGGAACCATTTCATGCGGAGAACGTAGCCGCGAGGAGGAGAAGATTCGCAGCACCGGATTGACACCCTTCCGCGACAATAAAGGACGGAAGGATCCTTTAGCTCTTTGTTTGTTTGAGTGATAGGAGGATTGTGAGCTTCTGTAATGATACAGTTCTCTACAGATGACAATCGGGGCAAGATTGTACGTTGGAGTTTCTCAGCCAGTACCTCAAATTAGTGAATCTAGCTGAAGTAGTTTCATATTACAAAGTAATTGGTAGTAAAAATGAACTATAAATATTATGAGGGGTAAAATCTTGCCACCACAAAATTTACTACTTTGAATCAAAAGCTTCAAATACTTTAGCTGCCAAAGGAGTTTCCAAACAGAATGGGACCAAGAAAGAAAGACCACTGCCACTGCTACACCTGCGGAACTACTTTCGGCCAAAACTCAGAGCTATTCTTCTCCTTTTCTTCCAGGACAAGGCTACTAGACGAGTGCCATGGGGATTGCTATTTGTTTTATTGGAAAACAAAGGTCCAAGTCCCTTACTCTTATGGCCTGATAATCCTGGGGACCTCACGGCAAGAGCCATCAGATCTTGGCGTATCATCGTGGAAGTACTCCTCAGGCGGTAAGATACGGAAGGCTCTCAAAACGCTCTCCTGTAGTCGCTTTGGATCCACAGGGACCTTCATCCTCCAATACCTTCTCCTCACCTGCCGCCATTCTCTCTGGCTGTAAGCAGGCGACGGGGGCTCCCATGGCCAGTCCTCACGGGTGAGCATGTACTCCATTCCCTTGAGATTACAAACTTTCAGTCACAAAAGGGGAGAAATTACAAACTTTTAACTCACCTCAGGATTAAATGGGTCGCTCTCGAGCTCTCCCGCAAAGACATGCTTTGGATCGGTAGGAGGAATGGTGTTGCAATCCTTTTTGCTGTGCCCGGGCAGTCCACACCTCCCGCACTCTCGCATGTCCCAGCTCCAAGAGTCCCTCCCTGGCTTTGCTTCAAACACGTCTAGCGGGTGGCGCTCAGGGCCCGTGTCCGGCAACGGCTTGCCGTTCATCTTCTCAATGGCCTTGCGCATGCCTCTCTCGCTGCTAAAGGTGACGAGGCCATAGCCCATTGGGACGTTTCTCTCGTCATACATTATCTAATGGAGAAAAGAAGAGAATTTCAAAGCAAAAAGGCGATGAATCTTTACCTTGGCGCTGGTGATAACTCCAAACCGGATGAATCCTTCCAGATCTCGTTGATGGGCATACCACGGCAAGCCGCCCACAACGCAAGTGAAGCCGCCCATGTCCTCGCTCTACAGCCCTGCATGGAAAATCTAAAAAGAGGGTTGGATATTTATAAACATGATATGCCATCGCAAGAGACAATGTTGGTTCCTCCTCCAACTTCTTGGATCTCAAACACCGCCCTACTCAAAAGGCTTGCAAAATGGATGGCCGTCCTCGTGTGGAGCGTGATCTCTCCACACTTCATCCTCGACCTCCCTCTCGCCAGCGCCATGAAGATCACCACTTGATCCTGCAGATACTCGTCCACACAGACCTCCCCCTCGAGCTGCTCCACCATCTTCGCCACCGCCGCCGCCACCAGTCCCTTCCCGGAGCTCCGCTTCCCGCCCGTCACCGCCGACGCTCCAATCCGGTGCCCATTGCTCGTCTCTGCCACAAGCACCACCTGCATTTGGCACTTGCTCTCGCGATGCACTCTCCTGACCCTAAACTCGCTCTCCATCGCCACCGCCAACTTCCGGCAGTCCTGAATCTCCTTCGCCACCTCGGCCTCGAACGCGGCCGTACACACCCCGGACACGTACGCCGTACACTTCGTGACGTCCCCGCGCTCGTCCAGGCACGCACCCACCAGTGGCCTCGTCAGGGGCTCAATCCTGACCCTAACTTCACCACCACCACCCGGCATGAACCCCTGCCTCTCCTCGCACACCTCCACGGCGCCCTCGGGGACGCCAAACCTCGCTAGGGCTGGCAGGAAGACGCGCTTGAGGTACTCGAAAGGTGGCGAGAGTGGGACGTTGGTGCCACCCTTGAGGACGAAGGTGGAGCTGCCGGATCCAAAGAGGGCGATGGGGAGACTGATCTGAGCGAGCAGCGTGCAAGCCCCCGCGCTCTCCACGTCCGCCGTGAACTGGCCGTGTTTGATCTCGCTGCCGGGGACGATTGTCACTTGAGTGGAGTCTCGCTCCAGCCCCGTGGCTCGCGCATTGCACAGCTCCACTGCGAGCTTTAGGCCGGCCAAGTGCTGCCGCTGGAGGCCCGGCTTGGCCCTGTTACCTCGGATGTTGGTAATGTGGAGTGGAATGTTGAGAATGGCCGCAAAGGCGACGCAGTTGCGAAGGATCTGGCCGCCGCCCTCCAGTGTTGATCCATCGATGATCATTCTTGCCAAAAGCCCTAAACTTGTAAGGCCTTTTAAAGGTTTAAATTTTACCCTTATGGAAAAATAGCATCAAGTCATTGTCGTTGTAGTATAGTGGTGAGTATTTCCGCCTGTCACGCGGACGACCCGGGTTCGATCCCCGGCAACGGCGTCTTTAAAATTTGTGTAGTCCAAGTTTAATTTTGTTTCCACTTAATCTTTGTTTAATACTAACGCAGTGTTGGTATATATACACGGTTGCTAGATCCTTCGTTTTAGACAGAGAGAGGAATGCGATATGAAGCATACGAAGAATCCCGCTGGAGAAGTAAATCTCTTACAAGTTTGACGATCCTGGATTCACCGGGGAGTGGGCCTGTTGTCGTGGAACCAAGCCGAGTGATGCAAACGAAGCACTCGGGTTGTGACTGATCGCTTCCTCCTTGTTCTTTTTGTTCTTGAGGAGTACTTACTGGCTCTTGAATCTCGCAGGTCACTAGGAAAGAACCGATCGACTTTAAGACTCCATCGCCAGTGGAGATTAGCTTGAGTTGCACGCCATTTTCGTTCGAGTCCGCTTGGAAAGGCATCGGCAAGGGAAGCTCGCTGGACGATGCGAAATTGATGGCCCACTCTTGAATCATAGCAACAGTCTGCCAAGGAAAGTTGCTATGGCATCTAGAGAAGAAAAACCAGAAACTTACCTTTGCTTTATCTGCCAGTGCAATGCGATGGCTGAAAATCTCGGAGGTGCAAGCTTTCCCAAACAGAGGTCTCCTCCTTTCGGACTTTACGCTTCCAGCAGCGTTGGAACGCCTTGTCCCGGACGAAGCGTTGCCATTCATCCATGCAAACATGCTCCAGAACGGTCCCATTTTCAGCTTTAAATCTGCGTCCATCCGAGCTTTTCTTTGTGCTGGAGTCTCGGACATATTCGAGCTTGAATCTAGAATAGCAGTGAAGTGATCAGTGAGAAGAAACTAGAAGAAAACTTTGTAAGAACTGTGCAAACCTTTATCCTGCTGCTGTGATTTGTGGTGCTGGTGCTTGAAAGCCTTTGCAGCCATGAAGATGTTGGAGGGCCTCTCCCATCCACCGCCGTATACTCCATTGCTAGGCCTCGGCTGTGGACGAATCAAATATTCTAAGATCGGTAGATCAGATCGCTCGACCCAGTGAATACAATTCACGGGGCAAGTTTGTATCGCCACCTTTTGCAAAAAAAAAAAAAAAAAAAAAAAAAAAAAAAAAAAAAAAAAAAAAACAAAGACGAAAAAGAAAAACCAAGCTTTAAGAAAAGAAGGAGATAAGTTTCACTTACTTTGACAGTGTCGTCCGCATCACCCCATTGTGCTTTGACACGGGCACAACCAGTGGATTCATCGAAAAGAAAAGTATTTTTTGCGGCAAACGCGCATTCTCGGCAGCCTGTTATTTTCCAAAATAGATAAAAGATAAAATAGTGAAAATGAAGAGAAAGGCTTTTGTTCTTTACCTATGCACGCATTCTCGTCAACAAAGATGCCTTGTGGCCTGTCCGGCCCATTCCAGGTACTATACATGGATCCAGTAAACGAAGGCTTGGAGTAGTAGTAATTCATCGTTCTAGTTGACGCCAAGTGAGGCAACGAAGCATCATACTTGGAACGCAAACGTTCATCGCTTAGAACTTGGTAGGCCTCGTTTAACATGAGAGTCATTGCATGGCCCTGGATAACAAAGAAAACAAGAAAACCATCCATGAGTTCTCTTCTAGAATTCTTCTTCTTTCTTTACCTTTGATCCGGAAATGTCTGGATGATGCTGCTTCTGGAGATTTCTATACGCCTTGCGGATGTCTTCCATGCTGGAACCTGGAAGAACACCGAGAATTTCATAGTAATCTTGCTGATTTGTGCTTCTTCCAGTGTGTTCTTGCTTGCTAGCGGCAGCTTTGCACTGCCTAACATCCCGATCCACTGAAAATCGGTCAAAAATCCAGAGAAAATTTTACCTCGAGGCGGGAGAGACGAGCTTGCGCTGCTGGAGCTCCCACAGCATTGGCGACGGCGACCATTTCGATCCAGTGAGCGCCATCGCCAGAACGAGAGATACGAAAGCCTAAAAGTATCCTCAAATATCTTCCTCGCTTTCCACTTGTTTACTAGATTTTGGATAATCAACGGTAGTATTCAAACAAATCTAGACCGTTGGAATGATTTCAAAATTATGCTAAGAAGATTCGTTTTCCCGCTCCTCACGATAAACCCTAGGATAGAAGATGGACAGGAAACAAGCGCTCGGCTTCATACAATCTTGCAAAGATCTTCCTACTGCCAGGGAAATCGATCGCCAGATCAAGGAAGATCCTCTTCTCGCCCGGGATGCTTTCATCTCCAACAAGCTCATCGGGCTGTACGGGGCGTGTGGGAGCATCGCCCACGCGCGCAATGTCTTCGACCGGATCGGTGCCCCGGACGTGGTGTCCTGGACGGCATTGCTCGGCGCGTATGCTCGAAACGGGCATATCGCTGAGGCTGCGCACGCCTTCGATCGAATGCCCCAGCACGATCTCGTCAGCTGCTCGTCGATGCTCTCGGCATTTGCCCGCGCCGGACGGATCGGCGAAGCCCAGATGCTATTCGTCTCTCGGATGCCACATTTGGATCTCGTCTCGTGGACGTCGCTCCTCGCGGCCATCACCCAGGAGCGCAATCAATTCTTTGACGCCAAGCAGCTCTTCGATTCCATGCCCGAGCACAATCTCGTGGCGGAGAATGTGATGCTGGCGGCGTACGCGGCATTGGGCGACGAGAGGACCGCAGAGATGTTCTTCCGGGCGATGGAGCTGCGCGATCTGTTCTCGTGGAGTTCTGTGCTGGAATTGTATGCCCGCCTTGGAAACCTGGAGAGAACGAAGAGAATATTCGATTCTATGCCCGAGAGGGACATAGCATGCCAGACAATTATGCTTACTGCATATGCCCAAAGCGGGCATTTGGAGCTTGCGCAAACTATACATCTTCAAATGCCTCAATGGAATCTGGTATCACTCAATGCAATGCTTTCTGCTTACGCTCACAACGGCTGTGTAGAGAAAGCAAAGATTCTTTTTTATAAAATGAAAGAATGGGATGTTTTTTCGTGGACTGCTTTGCTATTGGCATATACCACATCTGGGCAAATGCCAGAAGCTAAGAGAGTATTTGCTGAAATGCCACAGAAAAATGTTGTCTCCTGGAATATTATGTTTGCAATGATTTCTGAGGCTTGTAACAGTTTAATTGAAGCTCAAATGTTTTTCAACTTGATGCCTAGACACGACCTCTTCTCGCTTAACTCGAATATTGCAGCATATATCCGAAATGGGCATATGTCTTTAGCACAGTTTGTGTTTGAGAATATGCCCCAGAAGGATATAGTTTCGTGGTCAACTTTGTTATCCGGATATTCGCAAGCGAGTGATGCGCAAATGGTAAGGAACCTTTTCGATGCTATGCCAGAGCACAACTCATTAGCCTCAAACATACTCCTCACAGCATATGCCAGACAAAGGCATATCCAGGAATCTAAAGCACTCTTTGACAAGATGCCACACAGGACTTTGGCATCTTGGAACGCGATGCTCTCCGCAATGCCCAGCGTTTCCCTGGCACGTCGGCTGTTCGATTCCTTTCCAGAGCGAGACCCGGTCTCCTGGAACACAATGCTAGCGATCTATGCATACAATGGCCATGCTAGTGAAACTCTACAAACTTTCAATCAGGGAAACACTGCAGAGGCTTGCGAGCAGGCTTGGTTCGTTCCGGTCCTCGTGGCATGCAGCCATATGGGAGGGGTATATTCCGCAGGATGCGTTTTCCGGTCAATGGTCTCGGACTTTGACATTTTTCCTGCAAAGCCTCACTACTTGTGCGTGGTTGATACTCTGGGAAGGGCCAATCGCCTGAGAGATGCCGAGGATCTTGTGGCGAATATGCCTTTTGTGCCAGATGCTCTGGACTGGACGTGCTTCCTGGGAGCCTGTAGAAGCCAGTTTAGTGTTGAGCTGGGAAGACTAGCAGCTGAGAATTTGATTGATCTAGATCCACAAGGCACTGAAGCTTACGTGCTAATCACCAACATATATTCGCTTGGCGCAAAAGAAATGGAGACTTGAACAAAACAAAAAGAGATAAAACAAGAATTGCCGGGGCATTGCGAGAATCGAACTCGCGACCTCTCGCACCCAAAGCGAGAATCATACCACTAGACCAAATGCCCGACCTTGTGAAGTAAGCAAATATCAAACTACTTCACCAATCTCCCCATTCTCCACCGGATCCGAATTTTTTACTGCAATCTGGCTCCCTTTGGAGATGATAATGGCGAAGACAGTTGGTTATCACGGGATCCTCCGCATCGTGCCTTCCCATTTCCTCCCAACTTGTTGGAGCCCGGGACTCCATGATACTTTTCAGGTTCTCGATAGCTGTCCAAAACTTCTCCACCGCAGTAGAAGAAACGGTGCGCAAGCTAGGCATCCGTGAAGCCCAGAGTCCCTACATTCCATCAACTCGTCCAGCGTCCATGCTTCCAGATGGCAGAGCACGCCCACGTCCCTGGCGAAGCTATGGTAGCCACTGCGACCCGGTTTACCACTAATATAAACTGCGTTTAAAAGTTCATTCTCATTCACTATTTCTAGCTTGTTGTCTAGCGTCTTTCTTGTTCAAATGGTGAGGAAGGCTTGCATATGCTGGCAGGGTATCAAGAATTCAATGGCACAACATTGTGTGTGATTGATCGATTATGCTGAAGTGACAACTGATGAGAATTTGGTATATATGATCGAATTGGTAAGCTCAATGGCATGTTTGTGCTGTTTGTGTGCTGCTGGAGCAAATCAAATATATATCTTCCCTTCCACAAAATTTGATTGCATGACTACAGAGATGCACCTAAGTTAATACTTTTTAATGATCTGTTTGTTTAAGTCTGTAAAAAAAAGGAAAAGAAAAATAATAAAATGGTACTTAACACCCAAAAAATCAACACAGTTAATTTAATAATAAAATAGTGTTCATGTTAGGGGGCGACCCTAAGACCGTATTATTCTTAATTGAAAGTTGAGGCGGATGGGAATCGAACCCAGCAACCCTACACAATAGAACATTACAGCATGCATGCTATAACCACAAAGCCATGAACACTGGGAGATAATAAAATATAGTTTCAGCACCTCTCATTGGATTTGAATGCAAAAGAAGATTTTCTGACTGTCCACGTAAACGACATCCAGGGGCTGCAAGGCCAGAGATTTGGAGGATCCACGCGGATCCTGGAGAGCAGCTACTGGCTGAATCGATACCTCTCCAACATGATCGCTTCCGAAGCGTTTCCAGCCTAGAATCGGCCAAGCCATTTCAGACTCTGGACAATTGCAGTCCGGGGGTAATCTCGATGCGATCAACTTCACGAGCTTCCTCAAGGTGGCGATGGATCCTGTCTGCGGAAACATAAACAAATGGAATTGGTAGTGATCTTGGTGCAACGAAAGATAAGCTTGTCGTCAAACACATGGTTTTGGGTGCCAAAAGTATGGCCATCATCTGTCTTTCACACTATTGTCCAATCTTGTGAGAGTCTTGACCGAGCTCAAACTCAATCAGCTGAGAGCAAGCTTTCTCAAAAGTTTCCAAAGAGCAGATGGCATAACACAAAAGTGTACCAGGTCACAAACTCATCTCATCACAAGTTGCATTGTGGTCACTCCACGCCTTGGATGTTGATGAACTACAGGCCTCCATTTATCTTGGAAAATACATCTATGAGGAATGAAGCAATCTGGACAAGAGTATAAGCAAAATGAGCACGAGAAGAACCATACATACCATGGAAAACCATGAGTTCTACACTCAAAACGACACACACATGGCACGGGCAATGTTCGATCAAATGCCCGAGTGCCACAACATTGTCGCATGGACTGCTAGGCCTACGCTCTCACTGGGAATTTCTTCCACGCTTTAATTTGATCCTCTACCAGGACATGGTCTTGGAAGGAATGGCTCCCGACTAGATCACATTCACTTCCGAAATTAGAAAAGTTCTTTGTCAGGATGTACCATCTAGTAGGACGAAACTGGCCTCAAGAATGCTAGACATAAGTTATAACATGTAGCTACATGGGGCTCCTCGCCAAATGATGAACCTATGCGGAGACTTGCCCGATCGTGGAGCACTAGTACACGCAAGGTGGATTGTTAACATTGAGGATGTCATTGTCGTATGCTAAAGTGGCCTGAAGAACGCCACCGTGATTGGATTCCTTGTGATTTCATCACTCTTTTAGCTAATAGAGCTTCTAATTACAATCTTTTACAAGGAACCCACAGAACAAAGACTAAGCTCGGTTACAATCTTTTACAATGAACCCAAGCTCAATAATGAAGATTAGGCCATTGTTGGAATGTCCATTTTAAGGAGTCGTGCTCTCATTGGATAGCAAGGTCTTCTCATTGTAACACTTGAGCTAAATGCTTTTCAATTAAAACGTGCAATAATATGCTTTGCCTCCTGTGGGAACATGTAGTCTATGTTAGGAGATCTCGGCAGGCATGGTGGATCAATGTTCCATCTGGAACGGATGAAATTTCTTGCTCAAGGTGCTCGTCTGACCACATTCCACAGCAATATTCTGAAGCTGTACGTGAAGGAGATATTCGATGGGTTGTACAAAGAGATCAGGAAGATCCTGGTGCCGTTCATGTGGATGTTGTGCTGCCATTTGAATGGAAATTCGGGGGTTGGTAAATCTGCATTCCTCTGGTACTTCCGGTCATGATCTACGAGTCCAGAGCGACTGTTTTGATGTTCGAGGGTGACAAGCTCAGGGTGGTGAATAGAGAAGACTTCCTTCAGGAGATTGTGCTGGACAGCAAAGTAGATTACCATCTCATCGATCAGTGAGTGGACTTGGGGCGGATGGTTGGAAATAAAACCCTTGTTGCTGCTTCATCACCAGACGAGTTCAATGTCAGAAAAGCCTAGCGGACAACGTTCACTCGCTATCTGCCTGCGTGGGAAAAGCACGAGTACGATGCTCTTGTGTCTTCTTGGAGGAAACGCGTGACAGAATACGAGAGTGGATCGGAAGAAGCCAAAGAGATAATGCAGAGAGTGAATGCTGCTGAAATGGCGTTTGAATGGTTTGGAGGTATCCCCTGGTTTCTTTGGGATGTAGAAGCAAACGGTCTGACTGTGGAAGCTTTCGAAGCACCTGAGTATGGTTCTGTGATTTTGTCCTTCAAGCGTTTTGAGCGTTGGTCGTCCAGGAAACCAAGGTGCGCATCTTCATGCTCTCAAACATGCTCCTGGCGGCGCTCAAGTTGAAACTTGCGTGAGAGCTATCCAGCAGACAATGGTCTTGCGCAGGATCTCGTGAACGGCCTTGTCAAAATGCCCATTCTCGGAAATGCGAGGATCCACGGTACTGGATTCTTCTCCGGGATTTCTTCGTGAGGGCGACGAAGCCTTGGTGGCTGACGCCATCCCCGTCCATGTACCACGTCTTCATCCGGCATGAAATCAAAGATCTCTTTGGAGGTGGCCAAATCCCTCATCTGGTATTCACTGCTGGAAGGGGAACCCATGGAACGTCCTGTCATTCTGGGCAGTAGATTCGTCCAGGACACGAGATCCTTGGCCGGCGTTTTTGCCCAAGGTCGATTTCGCTGCCACAATTTGCCCCTGGTGCGCGAGCGCCATTATCATCGAGTTCCATGGCGCTCTGAGACGCAATCAAACATAGACTCTCGCTCTCGGATGCGGGATGCCGCCACATACGCGGTGATCATCGCGCTCCAGGAGACGATCCCGGAACTCCTTGTTCTTGGAAATCTCATGATGCCCGGACTGGGCATACAGCGTACTGAGTGAGTGCCAACCGACCACGTCAATCCAAGATCTTGTTTGCCTGGCTGAGATTGATGCAGGATTGTACGACCGTGTTGCAGGACACGAGATTCCTCTGGGGCATTCAATCGAACAAGATTGACGCCGCATCGATCGAATGCCCTGTTCTTGCTGCTCGCATTTGCCAGCGAAAGGGAATATCGCGCGATCCAAGAGCCTGAACCCTGCGCGTGGATCATTCGTGGTAGAAGATTTAGCTCCAGCAACGCTGCCGCGAGCGACTTTGCGGAGAAGAGAAAATCCTCGTTCATTTGATTGGGTCTCTGGCTGTGGATTCGAACCTGTGACCATGCCAATATATTTTTTTATTCTAGCCAGATATCCGAGGTTCCCGTCCGAAGTGTACACTAATTGCTTCTTAACGTATACCATAATGTAAACAGCGGCGCAAGAGATTTTCGTTTTGTGGGCGCATGGCGCTCAGCTCGTTGCTGCTGTCAAGCTCAAGAAAGAAACCATTCTGTTCTCGATGGAATGAAACTCTCACTTTCTCCATGCTCTGGCGAGGCCATGGCAAACAAAACGGGTTGGATGGACTCTGCATCTCAATCTGAGCAAACAGCTGATGCAGAAGCTACTTTTGAGAAACAAAGTATAAGTATGCTGCAACAAGAACCAGCAACATCCGTTTAAGATATTGTTCTGGAAGATGGCTTGTCTGAGCTCGAGTTTGATTTGATCCAGGCACCCTGGTCCCGGGAATCTATTCTTCACTTGGTTGTCAAAGCTGGAGGTCCATAGGTTTGGATCCTTTCAAATCCTCGGGGCGTGAGACTCGGAGCTCCAAGTTTTGATGCGTTTTCTTGGCAATAATATATTGCTCTGAAACCGTAAAAGCTTACTCACCCGCAAACAAAACTCCAGGGTTGCACCAGAGATCCAATAAACCTGTGAGAGCCTCAAACTCAATCAGCTGAGAGCAAGCTTTCTCAAAAGTTTCCAAAGAGCATAACTCAAAAAAATATACCAGGTCACCAACTCATCTCATCACAAGTTGCGTTGTGGTCACTCCACGCCTTGGATGTTGATGAACTACAGGCCTCCATTTTATCTTGGAAAATGCTCGAGGCCAAAGGGTGGCGAAGATGAGGAATGAAGCGATCTGGACTGGACAAGAGTATAAGCAAAATGAGCACGAGAAGAACCATACATTGCTCGACTCATAGAGCACGCCCGGCAGCAGCAGACCGCCCGGTAAAGAGCCCCCTGGATCGAAAATGTGCAGCAGTAGCGTATAATCGCAATGGCGCTGGTTTTCCATGGCATTGTTCTTGAGCCTTGACGAGGAGGTGCCATCCAGCGAAGATTTGCAGGAAGGAGGAGCGATCTCCAGCTGTGGGCGCCTGGGCGAGAATGCGGTGAGCACAGATCTGGGAGGGGGAAGGCGCATCCACGAGGAAAATCGTCTCCAGCGGCCTCGAGGTTCCTTGCTAATCTGGTCATAGAAATGTATGGAAAGTGCGGGCGCTGGAAATCTTCCAGAAGATGAAAGATGGAAGATTGCGATCGCGGCATTTGCCCTTGTTACTCTTTTTCGAGCATCCAGTTATTTCTCTTGGCAGCTATCAATGCCGATCCGGCGGAGATCCACGCGCTAGTCGTCGCTGTGGCCTGGCCTGGCCTGGATCACTTGTGCCAAGAGCACATTCGAGCCTCATTCGGGGACATTCCTTCGAGTGTATTCGACAGGGATTGAGAAGAATGGTCGGACTAGCATCGGACTTTTCCCCACTCTTTCATTCTCCAGCGCTGAAATTTGGCGCTTGAAGAACCAGTAGTATGTCTTCCCGATCCTGGGCGTTGCGACCAGGTGAAACTGCCGCTTGCGCAGCTTACCGCGAGCCACCTTGGCAGTTTCATCCTCTCTAGGCTTCGAGTTCCGCAAAAGGAAATCCTCGAGAAGGAGGTCAGTGGAAGCAGCTCCTTCTCGCCCAAGAAACCATCAGGGAGCTGAAGAACATCCCACCAAGACCTGTTCCCATATTTTAATAATCATGCACAGTTAATTTGTTTAAAGTCAATGCCCTAAGACCTTTAGAAAGGTGGCAAGAGCATATTCTCCGAATCTTTTACTTTACCAAACAGAAGAGCCTCGAGATTATCTCGTTCGACACTAGAAATCCATTTGGATCCGTCAGCCTGCCGTACACAGCCCCCGCTCGCTCCGCCGTACACTCCCTCGACGCGTCCAAGAACACTACATTCCCACTCGCCACAAACTCCGCGAGCCCATCGCACAAGATCCCTGCCAATTCACTCCCAAACTCCGCCTCGAATCGCCGCAGGTCGATCCCCTCCGCCAGCCGGAGAGCCAGCATCACGGTGTCAAGGATCCGATCCTCCACACTCTCGGGAAGAACGGCTTCCGTGCGTGATCCCTCCAAACTTTCGGGAAGAACAGGTGATCCCGCCGCTAGAGCTTCCACAAACTTGGCGTACTCTCTCATTCTCTTGCTCCTCTTGACCCTCTTTCCATCCACGAAGCTCGTGGATCCCAGCCCATACGCGTAGTATCCCTGGTTCTTCCAGTAGACGAGATTGTGGCGGCACTGGAAGCCTTTCCTCGCGTAGTTGCTGATCTCGTAGTGATCGTAGCCGGCTTCCCGGAGCATTGACGATCCCAGCTTGAAGAACTCGGCCGAGTCGTCGTCGCTGGGGAGTGGATCCATGCCAGGCTTGTAGAGATTCCCAAACTTGGTCCCTTGCTCGATCTGGAGATCGTAGATCGAGACGTGGGCCGGGGACGCAGCGATCGCTTGCTCGAGTGATTTCCTCCATGACGCTAGAGTGTGGTGAGGGAGCGAGGAGATGAGATCCAAGCTCCAGTTTTGCAGCGAGTCTTTGATCCACTCGATCGACTGGAAGACGTCGTCCAGGCAGTGGGATCTTCCGCAGAGCTTGAGGAGATCGTCATCGAAGGCCTGGACGCCGAGAGAGACCCTGTTGATCCCGCACGACTGGATCGCCTCCGTGAGGTAGTCCCGGGAGAAAGTTCCTGGATCCATTTCCATGCTGATTTCCATCGGTGCGTCACGCGAGAAGCCGTGCTTGGCTTCCAGCGCCTGGATGATCCGCTGGAGCAGCGGGATTGGAATGAGCGATGGCGTACCTCCACCGAAGAAGACCGTCTGGAGAGCGCCTCTCGAAGGCGAGCGCTCGGCGGCGATCTCCTGGCACACCAGATCGACGTAGCTCTCCATGGTGGAGCCGGCATTGGAGCTCGACTCGCCCAGCGCGACGATCGGGAAATCGCAGTAATGGCATCGGCGCTTGCAGAATGGGAGATGCACGTACGCGGCCGTCGGCAATGCGGCAGGAATCGCAGACCCCTCGCAGGCAAGGACCCTAGAAGAGTAGTGTCTCACCTTGGGGAGAAGGAGAAGAGCGTGCCCGCGGGCGCACGCCATAGCCAGAAGAACCCTAATTCTATGGTCAGCCCTAGTCAACATACTCAACGGTGGTCAAATCTACCAGCTAGCTCGCACCGATCGGGTATGAGAACTTTGTCAAAAGTGCGTGCATTGAAAAACTTGGCATTGCTTGCTGTCAAATTTCTCGAGAATTATTTTGGGGGTTTGAAAAGCCTGAAGAACACGGAAACTTGAATGCCTCCAATCTCGATTGATTGATCCGTCCATCCCAAGAACACACCACCACCACCACCACCACTGCCCATGTGTGTAGATCCCCTGTCGTACACATACGCGCTAATACCGTACACGAGACAATCCATAGAAAACTCTGTCCGGACAGTGGCCAAGTACAAGGAATCCTTTGGATTGTCAAAGCTATTCGACAATTATAAGAACTGACAAGGAGGAATTTCAAGGGCAGCTTCCAATCCACATTCCAGCTGGAGTGAAATGGAAGGATGTCCCATGAGAAAATGATTGGTTGACCAACCAAGAACCCTAAAAACAGAGGATAGAACCCAAACAGAGCATATGTACACTTCCGGGAAATCTAGTCTATAGAGCTGCGATGGATCACAGTGGATTGCAAGAATGCGGCCAGAGCCGGTCGTCCATCCTGTCGACCTCGTCTATCGGGCTGCCGAGAGGCGAATTGGCCATGAAAACCTGCGGCAGATCAAAGATCCACTCGTTGTCGCAGTAGAAATCCAGCCAATTTCGCTGCTCCTCGGCCATGGCCTCGACCTCCACGATTTCCTGCTCCTGCATTGCGATCCTGGGCTTCTTCTCTGCCAGGAACACGACCTCATCGTCGCGATCGTCCCCTGGATTTTGGGAGAAACGTCCACTCTCTTGTTGCTCCATTCCAAGGATTTGCTCTTGGAGGGACAGCGTCCTGGAGGAGGAATCTTGCTCCTCGGTGGAGCGATCCATCGATGCGGTAGCAGCGGCGGCTGCAGCAGCCTGGATTGCCTTGATCTGCGGCGCCAGTGGATCATCGGACGAGGAATTGGCGGTGGATTGATCAAAGAATGCGGCGAGATTGGGCAAGTGGTGAATGGAATCCTGGAAGTTGAGCGCGGGAAGGGCGGAGGCGCCCTTGAGATAGAGAACCGCCGCGTCGTACGCCCGCGCCGCCATCTCGGGGGTGGCGAAGCTCCCCAGCCATATCCGGGCTTGCGTGGTGGGCTCACGAATCTCCGACACCCATTTGCCCCACGTCCTCATCCTCACGCCCCGGTACTTTTTCTTGCTCGCTTCGCCGCAGCCGGGCATTGGGTGATCAATCATCGATCGCTTCTCGGCGCCCATGATAGGATTGGATTGGAATTGCTCCTCCTCTTTCGGATTGGATCCAATTCTAATCGATTCTAGTTGGGGAATTTCTTGTCTAGCTTTGGAAGAGCAGAGGCTATGAAAAAGAGGGAATTCACCTCATCACTCCTTCCACATTGTGCGCGCAAGAAATAATTGTTGCTACCTTCTCTCAAATCAGACTCTCAAGAACAAAGATTGAGAGGATAGATCAGGGATTGATTAGAAGGAATTCTACTCCACATTGCACAATATGATCACGATTCTTCTTCCCTCCCTTTCAGCCCAAGAAGAGCGCTCTGTTCTTCCCTCAATCCAGCGCAAGAACAAAGATTCTATCGCGAATGGAATGGAAAAAAAACGCTCTGGGATCACTCACCCGACACGTATGGATCGAATTTAAGCCAAACAACACAAGAACAGCCAAAGACGTATCTCATCTCATGTGATGCCTAGTGCCCCCTTTTTATGTTGTTTTGGCTGGGATTCGGCCCATTCTGGTCCAAAACCCAAGCATGGGTCACACACGTCATCCGTACACTGTACGAGCCCCACCTCTAGTCGAATATCGAGAGCTGGCATTTGCTGGCTATGTTACGCCATGCTTTTGTTCTTTCTATTCCCTTAAATTATAGTATAATAACATTGTCTTTGACTAGATTGATCTTCTAAGAGAAAAATTTCCCAACATTTATGCGTATAACCTCTCATGCAAAGGTTGAAAACGTTGCTGCGGTTCTCTCATATAAAATTTCTGGCCAGCTCAAGGGAGCCATGCGAAGATTCCATTGAGCTTCTCCTTCCATGGTTTCGGTGCTAGGTGTGAGAATTTATCATATGCACAAAAAGGAAGCTCCAGCGCCATTGTCAGGCGCGAATCGAGCAAGAAAAATGGAGTGACATCAAGGTTGACATAAAAGGTTGGCGGGTTATAAATCACATTTTCAAATTTGTGTGAGTTGTTCTCCATTCTGAGAGATCTCTGGAGCTCATGACGTTTTCTGGCATTCTTCTTGGCAATTGCCCTCATGGTCAAAACGAAATAGCGAAGTTCCACCCTGAAAAATGGACGTAATCTCGATCGAATCGATTCAGGTTCCCGTGTGCGAAGATCCTTGAAAAGGTGAAAATGAGCTCCATCACCCCACCACAGGGAAAAGTTTTGGGTGAAAACGATCGCTCAAGAGATCGGGTATCACATTTTGGGCTTGTCTCGTTGTGCTAAACTTTCTTGACGGTCAAGCCGATACACCAGTCAATTTTGGTATAAAGCAATACGTGCATCTGGTTTTCAAAACAAAAAGCATATATACTGCGCGTATTTGTGTCCCTGTTGTAGAAAAGGCCCTTTCATATCCAGATCTCAGATCTTATACACGCCTCTAAAGTTGTGGCTGCTGGGATTCGAGCCCAGGTCGCAGAATTCTCAATGATATAGACCTAAATCCTATGTAAAGGAAAAGGGAGAAAGCACTATATAAACCAGAAGCCCCGTTGCTAGGGTTATCACTCAAAATGGCACGACAAGAAAAAGAGATCGGGTGCTTTGTTTGCGGGGCTGTTGCGGGAGCCACGTCTAGAACCGTGACCGCGCCTCTGGATCGTCTACGAGTCCTCCTCCAGACCAACACGACGAGCAGCCCGATGACCGTGCGTCAAGGGATCCAACACATATACCAGAAAGGTGGCCTGGCCGGGTACTACGTTGGGAATGGCATGAATGTCCTCAAACACTTCCCGGAGGCGGGCGTGAGGTTCTTGACGTTTGAGAGGTTCAAGAGCGTGGCGGCAGATCTACAAGGGGTAAAGGAATCGGATCTAGGACCGGTTTCTAGGTTTCTGGCCGGAGGTTGCGCGGGTGTTCTCACCACGGTCGTGGCATACCCATTCGAGGTGGTGAAGACAAGGATACAAGTCTCCAGCGATGCCAAAACGAGCGCTCTAAAGTTGACAAGGGATATGTGGGTGCGTGAAGGTGGCTTGTCTTTGTACAGGGGATTGCTTCCCTCGGTGATGGGGATCTTCCCCTATGCTGGTTTTGATTTTGCGATGTATGAGACGCTTAAGAAGGGCATCTTGGAGAGAGGCCTGATTGACTCGGATTCGAAGTATGCCCCGCTGGTACATATGGGGTGTGGGATTGTATCGGCGAGCATTGGAACGACTTTGGTGTATCCTTTACATGTGGTGAGGACTAGGTTGCAAGCACAATCCACGGTAGCAAATGGGTCAGAGGAATTATACAAGGGAATGAGGGATGTTTTCAAGAGAACTTATGCAAGAGAGGGTGTGCGGGGGTTCTACAAAGGGGTCTTGCCAAATCTGTGCAGGGTGGCACCAGCAGCGAGTGTGTCATATTGTGTTTACGAGCAAATGAAGAAGCTGTTAAATGTAGAGACGTCCTGAAGAATTTGATCGTTCTAGTTCAGTTGACAATGTCTAAGTAAAGGACTTGATCGTTCTAATGGATAAATAGTTTATGGATTTGAAAAAGCTCAATACATCGTGATCTTAGAATAGATTTCCGGGAAAGCTAGCAAATGAAAAAGCTCTTGAACATATCGTGAAAGCTAGCAAATGAATAAGTTCTTATCATTCTAATCATGTATGGAGATTTTGTTTGATCAATCGGTTTTAGAGGACGTAGCCGCCGCGGTCTCGTGCTCAAGCTTGGTGGCTGACTCCTTGAGAACTTCGGTAACATCGTCAGCCATGTCCTTGTAGTGATTCTTGGACGATCCACAAGCATTGCTACACCAATTCACCATGGCCATTGGGTAGCTGCCCAATGTCTCCATTGTGAAATTCCCCTTGTTCTAGATGAGAAAAGCGAGAATTTGTCACGCCACAAGAGAACCTTATCTAGTTTTTTGACTTACTTGATCCAGAGCTCGCGAGAGGTTGTCTTTGAGGTTGCCCTTGATCTCGCTGGAGCCTGTCTTGAGATTGTCGGCATATCCTTCCACTCGATGGACCGCGCCCTTGACGAACTCCTTGGCGCTCCCGGCGGCCTTGTGTGCCTCGTCCAGCACCAATTCCGCGACCTCCTTTACCTTATCCTGCGAGTTCTTCACCCCGGCCTTGATTGCCTCCTCGGATTTCTCCTTGGCTTCCTTGGCGGACTCGAACAGCTCGTGGGCAGTCGCAGAGAAATCCATGCTCTTGAATTTCTCCATTAGACCAATGTGTTCACACTATCCTTGATGAACAGTGTCGAATGGAAATTCAACGCTTTTGCTTGGCTGGCTTCTAGGTGGGACTTACACTCGCCATGTTCAGTCCAGCAAAGAAAAGAACAGAAACATGCGATAGAATTTGTGAGAAGTTAAACATTTGATCCAAAAAAGATCATTTGGTTATTAGTAAATAAAAATACATTATTCAAAATAATTACATTTTAATATTTATTTATTTTCTCGTTTTCTTATCTAGACTTTAGAATCACTATTGCTTCAAGTGGTTTCTTTGGCCAAATCACAGAAACACTACTTTCAGCAACATTGTAGTCCCTTCCAGCAACACAGCTCCAGTCGAACCCATGGAGCAAATTCGCAAGTCCAACTTGGACAACCTTCAAACCGAGTGTCAGTCCCGCGCAAGTTCTCCGCCCAGCTCCAAATGGAATCAGCTCGAAGTCCTGGCCTCGGACGTCCATGCTCGAACCAACAAACCTCTCTGGCCAGAACTCCATTGGATTCTCCCACAGGCCTGGATCCCTTCCAATAGCGTAGACATTTACGAAGGTGTTGGCACCTTTCGGGATGTGATAGTTGGATATAACACACTCCTGAGTGGACATACGTAACAGGAGTGGTGCAGGAGGATGGAGCCGAAACGTTTCTTTCACAATCGCTTGGAGGTAAGTCAGGTGCTCAATGTCTGATTCTTCTACCAGGCGATTGGTCTGACCCACAATGGATTCAAGCTCATGCTGGGCTTTTTCAAGAACATCTGGATTCCTTAGAAGTTCTAGTATAGCCCACTCGATCACACAGGCAGTGGTATAAGTTCCAGCTCCAACTAGTTCCTGGCACGATCATACTCCAGAATTCAGCACACACGGACACACAGAGAGAGAGAGAGAGAGAGAGAGAGAGAGAGAGAGAGAGATTACCATGATGGTACCTCTGGCATTGTCAAGATCATTTCCACCTCCATCGCCTTTAGTATCATGCTCAAGAAGAATGTCCAGGAAATCCTTTGTGCCTCGGGAACTTTTGGTTTTCCTGTGCTCGTCTAAAATCTTTTGGATGACAATGTCTTCCCTTGCGGCGATTCGTTTCACTGCTGGGATTTTCCAGTCAATCCATCTGAGCCAAGCCGGTACAAGCTCGCTTATGTGGAATGCAAAGCCAAACTTGATAATCTCTTCCATAACTTCCATGAACTCCATAGCTTCCTCCTCGTTCACAGTGTTCTTCTCCCCAAAAAACCTCTTGCTCATGACAATCCTCGTTATTGTGTTGAAAGTGTAGCTCCGGACAAGCTCTCTCACGTTCACCACTCTCGACTGGTTGTCGATCAAAAAAGAAACCATGGAAGCCAGCTCCTCGCGTCTCACCTCCAAGAACGAAGCCAAGCGATTTGCCGTGAAGAGCTCCGCGTTGAAGAGCTTCTTCATTCTTCTCCAGTGCTCGTTAGGGGGTGACAACACCATGCTTTTGGAGCTGTAGACGTAATCGCCCAAGAGGAAGTATGGCCTGCCAGAAAATGTTTGATCATGGGTTTTGAGTGCCTCTCTCGCTGCCGCGGAACTGGAGATTAGAATCGCTGGCACAAGTCCCAATCTCAGGCACACAATATCTCCAAACTTGTTGGACAGCTCTTGGAGAGAGATGTGGGGCTGCCTTCCCAAGAGATGGAGGTGGCCGATAAATGGCAAGCCCCTTGGAGATGGTGGCAGCAGTTTGCGTGGCTGGAGGAAGGGCCTGACCAAGAGGTAGAACAGAAATACGGAGCCAAGAAGAACATACACAAGGAATTCCATATTCTAATTTTTGAACTGATGCACAAGAAATGTAGGGTTTGATCTTTACGGTAGTTGAATCTAAGAAAATTGATTATTTGGTTGACCTTGGATATATATAGCTAAATTTATTACAATAAGTGTCAATTTGCAAAATTAATCTGGAAGGTGACAGTTTTATAATATATGAATATAATGGCTTAAAAGTTGATCTGGAATACTATTTACTTCTGACTTTGCAGATTTTTATACAAGCCCTGTAACATACAAGCTTGCAGCAAAGACGATATCTCTTTTAATAAGGTTGGAAGCTTCATCCATTTTGTTGAAGAGCGTCGTGTCTCCCATAATCCGCGCCGCGTTCTTAATCTCTCTACATGTCTCGTCCAATCGGACTATAGTTCTCACCACCAGACCTTCGGAAACGTCGGTCATCTCACAAATTGTTGAGAATGGAGTTCCCTGCAACACAAAAGTGTCAACGAAGGAAGAAGAAAGTGCCTGGAATGCAAAAGCTTATAATTTACCTTTGCCCATTCATACACCACTTCCATGAGTCCAAAATGGAGGGCGTCACGAGCGTAGTCTTCGGCGTGTGAAACAAGCCCATGGCTTACTTGCAAATCTCCAAGCTGCAACGCTGTGTTGTAAAGCCTGAGAGAAAAAAGTGTAGAAAAAACACAAGTAACACACGATAACCATTCAACGAAGATCTTATTACCTTGTTTTCGCAGCCGCGAGCTTTTCAGTGAGGACAGGCTCGCTAGTTTCACGCTGCTGGAACACCAGCGAGGACAACAAGGCGATCGATTCAGCAGAATCAAGATCCGCAAGCTGGTTGTCAAAGAGACACTCCGCCGCGATCAGCTCATCGCCAGTGTTGAACTCGCACGTCACACGGCCTTTGAGCTGAACGATGAGCTCCGAATCGATGCAGCCAACGTCCTGGAGAACATCCATCTGCCATCCACATTTGTGTAGGAAAGTCAAAAACCAAACAACGGCTTCCAAGGAAGAATACTTACACGACGCTGAAACTCCGGCATTTGTTGTAGTGCGTTGTCTGAAACATCGAATTTAAGCTTGTCCACGCGATCTCTCAGCAGCTGTCGGCTCTTGATAATCGAGTAGTGCTCTTGCAGCTTTGGACACCGATGGCACTTGTTTTGTGCCATAAGCTCCGTGATGGCTTGTTTCTTCTTGTACTTTTCGACAGCATCGATATCGTTGAGCTTCAAATCTGAAAGACAATGCGTTAGTCAAGTTTTGCTAGTCAAGAGCATCGAAAGTAATTACCTTTTACGGGATCAAGAGGTGGAGGATCTGCCGGATAAAGTCTCTCAAGTTCTGTGAGGGCTTGCAGTACAGCCGAGATGGCCATAGTGCTTTCTTCTTCTAAGATCCGATTGGCATCAACCCGGATTTTCTCCTTCGAGATGCTGAGAAACTCCTGGCCACTGGTCTCTGCGACCAGAAAGGAGACTCCTCCCACCGTTCCGTAGTGCGGCATCGTCAACCGAATGACACCTGAAGATTTCTTGGACCCCGAAAAAACTGCGAACTCGTCGTCGTCGTTCTTGTTCTTCTTGCTGATGAAATATCCTCCATCTTGATCAAGCTTTTTAGTTGGAGGCTGAAGTTTTGCTGAGGCTGGAACTGCACCACGGTAAAGTGTCAAAACGATGCTCATTTTTGTTGTCCCGCTAGGTCCTCTTAGGACAACACCCAAAGCTGGAACTGGGTACTGTAAAGAGAAAATCACTAGTGCACGAAAGCAGCGTAGAAATATGACTTACGATAGTCGTCTTGACAGTGACTATTCGTCCCGGTATAAGAGCTTGCTGTGCTGCACGGGAGTTCATCACTTTTTCCTGAATGCTCTCTCCGAGCATATCTGCCTCGCTTGCTAATTTGTAATAATCTTCAATCGTGGGGTCGCCAAGAATACATTCTATCGTTGCAGCCATTTTTGAAAGCTCGCCCTCTTGTCTAAGAAGTTGCTGCTGTTGCTCAGGAAGTGCACGTTGGGCATGAAATTCCGCAAAACTGCGTTTGAGCATGTCTTCGACCTACAAGGAGAGTTGACATTGAAAAAGCGAAAAGAAAGAAAACAATCGGTTCATTGTACCTTCAACTCCTCTACTCGAAGAAGGTTCAGAATCATCGTGTAAGTTAATCTAAACTGTGATTCCAGTTTCGTGGCCTTCCCAGTCAAGAGACGTCTTAAATCTCCTTCGTCGGGTATGTCATCCCAACACATAACTATTACTGTTCCTACCTGAAGTAAAGAGAGGTGAGAATGACTGGCCTGGCAAGAAGAGTCCCATATTTACCGTGTCAAGGCCTCTTCGCCCGGCTCGGCCCGCCATCTGAGTGTACTCGCCTGGATAAAGCTGCCTAAATGATTTACCATCATGCTTCCTGAATCCATGAAATGCAACCTGCATCTCATACGAATAAGTATATGATAATCTCAACTGCATGGCTATCTTACCGTTCTGGCAGGTGCATTGACTCCCATTGCGAATGTCTCAGTAGAGAACAAGACCTGCACTTCCAGTTAGAAAGGACCACTTCAGAAACCTTACGAACTCATCACCTTGATTACGCCTCGGCAAAAGAGCATCTCCACTACCTCTTTCACAATAGGAAGTAAACCAGCGTGGTGAACTCCGATACCTCGCTTCAGCAATTCTTCAATCCGAAGGACCTATAAAATACTTCGAGCATAAGTACTGAGCTAGAAGATACGTACACACCTGAGGAAGTTGCCTATCCGTGCCCTTGAGGCGTGAAAAGGCCTTGTTACAGAAAACGCGAATCACTCCTTTTTCTGTTGATGTTGTCAAATCTGATCCGGTTAAGCTGTCTGCTGATTGATCGCAGCGAGATTTTGAAAAACAGAACACCACCACCTATACAGAGAACCAAATTACACAACATAAGAATGTGATGCAAGAAAATACGTACAGGCAACAAGTTCTTTTTTGATAGTACGTTGATGAGTCCATACCACTGGGAAGTCTCAGAACGCCATGGACCGCCACGACTGTTTTTCTCCTCCGGAATGACTTTGTTCCCTCTGCCCCCTCTGCCACCAGGTCCGCCTCTCCCCTGAACATTTCCCCGTCCTCCTTGTGTAGGTGCCACAGGACCTTTTTTCACTGTTGTTTTCGCTAAATGTGCATCCTTGGCAGCCTTGACACCGAGAGATAAGAAAGTCTCGTTTGCACATATTCTATGAAGCTCTCCCGAATAAAACAGACAGTGCTCCAAAGGAACTGGTCGTTTAGTCGTCCTGCACATAGAAATTTCAGACGCTGGGAAACACAATGGAGAGCATGCATACCCAGTTACGTATATCTTCTTTTGTTTTGTGCGACCAACCCAATCAGCAAACTCCCTAATGTTAGGCACCTAAAACAGTCACAATAAGAGGCAAGAAGATTGTAAACAAAAAAATTCTTACCGTAGCTGATAGTAAAACAAGATTGACATGCTGGGGAAGCATGATAATGACTTCTTCCCATACAACACCTCGCTCAGCATCATTTACGTAATGGACTTCATCAAAAACTACCTGTGACGTCGATCGTAAAGAAAGATTGAAAATCAACTGGGAGAATACATACCCATTCTATATCCCGTACAAGATCCGCTCCCTTGTAAAGCATAGAGCGGAGAATCTCTGTGGTCATAATCAGGCAGGAAGCCTCGGGCCGTATACTCACGTCCCCAGTCAGAAGTCCGACGTCAAACTTCTCACTAAAATCACGATACTTCTGATTGCTGATGGTTTTGATGGGGGACGTATACACTGCCCTTGTACAATGCTGGAATAAGAGAGTCAGACTTCCAAAGCTAGAATACATTGGCGGAGCATACCTTTGCAGATAATGCAAATGCATATTCAGCAACAACTGTCTTGCCCGCTGATGTGTGTGCAGCAACAAACACGGATTCATTTTTCTCCAGGTGATAGATTGCCTGCGGAAGGTAATTCAAGACTTCATAGTCGACTCGAGATGACGTACCTCCTTTTGAAACTTGTCAAGTTCAAAAGGAAATTGGATTGCCATATCTGGTATAAGCTCCAAAAACCTTTCTGCTACACCACTATCTCCGTCCATAACCACCCATTCCTGAAAAATAGTTCCATGTCAGAAAATGTTTTTCATTTCTAACCAGCTATATTACCTGTTTAGCCTCTGCCTTCGGCACAGGAGCAGCCTCGACCGTTTCAGTTGCAAGGATTTTATCAACTTCAGACTCGGGTTCCACTTCGTCCTTTAATACAACCTCGTCGATGGGATCTGAAAGACGTTGCAAAGCCTTGCTTGAAACATAAAGGAATTACCTATGGTTTACCTTCGTCATCGTCCTCACTTTCTTCCAGCATTTGATGTTCCCATGCCTTCCGAAATAAGTCTTCGTAATGTAGGACACTGTCCTTCTGTGTAGAAATAACATTGTTCAGGAAAGAAGACGAACATCGTTTCGGAAGAGCAAACCTTTTCTGGTTCCTTGAATGCCTCTGCAGAAGACACATCCGACTTTTTGGACCATGTAAATGGCTGCAGCATATGAAGTTTAGTCAAAATATGTTGCTAATACTTTTGCATACCTCAGGGACACCAAGGTTGGATAAACCCCGTTTAAAACCCGGAGCAACAGTCTGCAGTGGTTTGCCTTCTAAAACTTCGGCTAGCCATTCTCCGTTCTGTGCGCCTTCGGGAATAATTTTTTCGCCAAGATCAACTCCACCTGGTCGAAACGGTTGATTGCTCGAACTTCCACGGACAAAGTCTGCCGGATTTCCTGGCTTCCGCAACATCGATGAAGCGGCGTCGCTTCCATACTCAGGCTTGATCTGGAAAAAGAAGCAAAAGCAAGAAAATCATTAAAAAAAATGGAAGAGAAACACTTGAAAGGCTTCGATCAACATACCTGCTCAAACTCAGGAACCCAAACTCTCCCTTGCTCTTCCGACGTACGATACTCACTCTCCTTTCGTCTAAACGGCGGCTTCCACACCGGAGAAATCGTAAGCGGTGCCAGAGACGGCTCATAGAGATAAAATCCATCTCCAAACCAGTCGACCTCCCAGTATTTTCCTGTCCGTTTCACGTCATCAATATCACTGTCCAGCCGAGGAACTAGATATTTCTCCTCGATCTCTGCAAGAATCCCCACGGAGGTCTGGGGAGGCTGCACTGGTGGCTGCCAAAAACACGAATGCCGATCAAGGAAACGATCACTCTCTGGAAATACTCACCAAAATCAGCTCAGGAAGATCGTCTAAGGGATTGCTCCGCGAAATCGGAGGCAATATTTCGACCTGGAGCTCACCGCTGTATCCCGCGACGCCGATCTTGAATGGAAGCTCGCCTCCTGGAGCAAGATCGATAGATCAGAGAGGAAGAAACACGAGCTCGAAGAGATACCTAGCTTGGGAGGCGCCATTCGCTCCTCGCGGAGAAAAAAATAGAGGGAAAAATTATTTGGTTTGCCCTAGTTTTATATACCCAAGCCCTTTAGGATTAGGGTTCTTGCTGGAAGGAGAAGAAGGCGCCACGCCACGACAATGCCGTCGGCCCCGCGGCGCGATCAGGTCAGCTGAGCGATAGAGAGCGATGATTTCGAGTAGATCTCCAGCTGGGATGAGAGGATGAACGCGAATGGGTTAGGATTCATGCGTCGCTCGTCGGGCGCAACCGCATCGACATCGGCATCGTCATCGGCAGCTACTGCCGCGGCGGAATCCTCGTCCGGCAGGATGGATTTCGCCAAGCTACAGTCGCGATCGAGCTCGGCATTCGTTCCGCCGCACAAAACCCAGCTCCCTCCCAGGTATCACTTATCTCTCAGCTCCGGCGGTGGTGCTGCGTCGCATTCTCATCGGCAGCAATGGCAGAGGAGGATCTGGGGGGCCGTCACGCTCATCCTCGCGGTCTCGGCTCTCTTCTATTTCTTCTCGGTCTTTGGAGGGCCGCGCCGCCAACAAAACTCCAGAGGCCATGCGATCGTGATCGACGCTGGGAGCTCCGGGTCCCGGCTCCACATCTTTAGCTACAAGGTGGAGAACCTCTTCCCCCACATTGATACGCAAGACATCCCATCGCTCAAGACAAAGCCCGGGTTGTCATCTTTCTCGTCGAATCCACAACAGGCTGGGGAGTCGCTGGTGGAGCTGCTGGACTTCGCAAACGCGAGGATCGCGAAGAAGGATAGAGGACAGACGAGACTATATCTCATGGCCACTGCTGGTTTGAGGCGGCTGGAGAAGAACATCCAAGAAGATATCATTGAGTCTTGTCGATCGGTGCTTCGCCAGTCTGATTTCATGTTTGAAGATAGCTGGGCCTCGGTTATCACTGGTAAGCTTCTTTCTCTTCTCTTCTTTGCTTTTATCTTTTCTTTGTGTTGTATGCTCACAGTTCTCTCGTGTATCCTTGCAGGCACAGAGGAGGGAATTTTTGCGTGGGTTTCTGCAAATTACGCTCTAGGCACGCTTGGTGGCGATCCACACGCGACTACTGGAATAGTGGAGCTCGGTGGCGCGTCTGCTCAGGTAAGCCTTTCGAATGTTTACGTCCTTGCGTTTCACTAATCCTTGTTTGATCAGGTGACATTTGTGCCAGATTCACCATTTCCTCCAGAGTTTCTGCACTCTTTGGACTTTGGTGGAGTCAATTACAAACTCTACACGTATAGTTTTCTTCACTTTGGTCAAGAGGCTGCCTGGGACAATTTACTTCAGCTATTGCTCTCCGGAGCGGTGAAACCAAGTATGGCAATCTCAGTTATTTTCTCTAAGTTGAGTGGTCACTGGACGCGACTGCAGGATTAAAGGCTAAACCCGGCGTGGTGATTGATCCGTGTACTCCGGCCGGCTATGTGATGAACTCGGAGCTTCTAGAGAAGATTGCAAACACACTACAGGGGCCGAACCAAGTCAAGGTCTCCACGGTACTTTCGTCTGGAAACTTTTCTGAGTGCCGGAGAGCTGCTCAAGAACTTCTTCAAATGGGCGAAGGTACGCTAGTCTTCTTTCTCTTCGGATGAATAACCTGTGTAACTCTTACCAGACCAATGCCTACATGAGCGATGCGCGATTGGATCCACGTTTGTCCCGGATCTCCGTGGAAAGTTTTTTGCGACAGAGAATTTCTTCTACACGTCCGAGGTTTGTTTCTTCTACAAGTTTCTCTTTAAAGCTCTCGTTCCTTCCAGTTCTTTGGACTGCCGGCAACCACTTCTTTGGCCGACGTAGAAGCCGCGGGTGATTTCTACTGCGGCGAGCAATGGACAAAGCTCAAGAACAAGCACGTCGGAATCCAAGAGGAAGACTTGTTAAAGTATTGCTTCTCCACGGCTTACATCGTTGCGCTGCTTCACGACAGGCTCGGGATTGCCATGCACGACGAAAGGTAGCGTAGCTTTTTTACATCTCTTCTTTCGAAGTTCTCGATAAGTAACAATCTCTCCTGGCCAGGGTGCGCTTCACGAACAAAGTCGGCAACGTTCCACTCGACTGGGCCTTGGGAGCGTTGATGGTGAAGCTGGCTGATAACATCGAGGAGCGCTCGGAGTGGAGTTTTGGGGATGACTGGGTAACCATTCTTTCGTTTTTTGGATCGTTCGGGCTAGTGTTTGTTCTCGTCTGGCTCGTTCTGAGATGCCGGAAACCGCGGTTGAAAACCATTTATGACCTTGAGAAGGGCCGGTACATCACTACCACTCGCCTCCATCGATAAAAGAAAGAAAAAAAAAAACCTTCTATCAACATTTTTGCTGCTCGAAGAAGCAAATGGTTCTTTCAGAGTTTGTACCGTCCCTACATTATCGATCTCAAGTTAGCTGAAAAGCATTGTAATCAATAATCCAAAGGGAACAAAGCTTACTTGCAAACTCTCGCTCAGACTAGACTTCCATGCGCCAGAGAGCTCGGCATGTCTCAAACTCAGATTTCTCCGTGGTGTTGAGCTTGAATTCGCTCCTTAGTCGCTTTTGCTCGTCCAAGATGCCTAGGAAAGGAGAAAACACGTCAAGGCTTTCGAGAGATACTAATCTCTAGAGATGTGCTTACTGCCTGTAAGTATAGAGCTCCCAATAGACTCGGTGTCCGGGACGATCCTAGTGACTTGTGCGAACAAAGAGAGCTCGTGACTGGAAGCAAAACGAAGAGAGTGAGAAAAAAAGATGGTGCTGATTATCATCACGTGTTGTGCTGCTGGAGCGCTTCGAGCTTTTTAAGTTCTTCCTTCTTGGCCTCCAGGGAGTTGAAACGAGTTTCTATCCTGTTCACTTCGTCTTTTAGAACTGTGGAAAAATCAAGAACTAGTGTCAAGAATGCGAAGAAAAAACATAAAAAAATTTCGAGAGTGAAATCACATGAAACTTATCTGGTTTCTTCCTCCAAATCCTGCTCATGGTCTCTGATTTGTTTGAGCGTAATGGTCAGAGCTTCCAGTTCTGCGTCATTCACTCCCGCATTCTTCAAACGAGCCATCATCTTATCGGTCGCGTCGACTTCCTGCTTCAAATCTAGCCAGCAAAGCTTTGAGCAAAGAAAGAGAGAAGACAAAAAAGAGTCATACCTTGGAGCAACCCAGTCATTCGCTCGCGATCCTCCTCCACGGCAGCCCCAGCTTCGCTGAGCATCGCTTCAACTCGCTGGATCACGGCGGCATCGTCGTTGTGGAGCTTCTGGTACACCTCCCTGCAGTGCCGCGCACTGCTGCCCATCTTCTCCAAGAGATCCATCGCCACCGCAAAGCCCTCCATTAACCCTCTTCTTTCTCTTTTCAAAATGTAGGGCTCCTGGCGCTTATAGGCGGGAAGAAGAAGCTCCGGGGGCGTAGAGATTGGAGAGCAGTAGCAGCGATGTGGAATCCAGATCCACAGCACCCTTTGCCGCGACGCCTCCCTGCTCGAGATCTCTGTCCCGGCCGCAAGCTCCAAGCAGGGATCGAAATTCCAGGCCCTCCGGCTCGAATGGCATGCTGCTCAGGAGATTTGTGGCGTCCGCGACTGATCCGGCCCGCGCTAGCAGATCTACCATGGAGCTGTAATGCTGCCGTGTGGGATTCTGCCCGAAATCCCTCTCCATCGAGTGGAAGCACGATTTCCCTGCCTCGACGCTGCCACCATGGCTGCACGCCACCAAGAACAGGGCAAAGCTGCTGTCGTCGGGCTCCTCCGTGAGCATCAGCGTGTGGAATCCCTGGAACGCGCCAGCGGCATCGAGATTTCGAGCCAGCGCCGCGATGAAAGTGCTCCAGGAGACGAGATCTCGCTCCGGCATCCGCTGGAACAGGGAGACTACCTTCTCGCGTTGCCCGTGGAAGGCGCTTGCCGCGAGAATCGTGTTCCAGGACTTGAGATTCCTCTCCTCCATGAGATCGAATCTCGCCTTCGCGCTCGCGAACTCGCCGCAGTGGCAAAACGCGCTGAGCAAGACGTTCCTGGAAATAAGATCCCTATGCGGCATATTCTCAAACACGCTCTTGGCGGATTCCAGATGCCCGGTCGCGGCATATGCCGTGAGCATCGAATTCCACGTCACGAGGCTGTGCTGCGGCATCTCGTCCATGAGAATCTTCGCATCTTCCACCCGCCCGGCCTGGCCGTACACATTGAGCATGACGTTCCACGTCACCTGGTTGCGGCGGGCCATGCGGTCAAACATTGTGCGGGCCTCGTCCACGGGCAGCAAACACAGCATCGCGTTGTACGACAGGAGGTTGTGGTACTGCATGCTCTTGAATATTCGCCTAGCCCCGGCCGCGTTGCCCCTCTGCGCGAGCGCGCTTAGCATCGAGTTGTCCAGCACTACGTCCCTGTACGGCACCCGGTCGTACATCTCCTTTGCGTTGTCCAGATGCCCGTTGAGGGCATATGCGAAGAGCATACTGCTCCAAGATACAGAATCCCAGAAGGGCATGTCGTCGAAGATGCGCTTTGCTTCCTGGATATTACCCGCCTGGGAAAATGCCACGAGCATGGTGTTGCGAGACACAAGATCGGTCTCATGAAAGGTGGCAAAGAATATCCTCGCATCTTCGAGATGCCCTGCCCGGGCATATGCCGCAAGCATAGCATTCCACGATACCATGCAATGCTGCGGCATCTTGTCAAAACACCTCTTTGCGTTGGGGACGTCTCCTTCTTGGGAATATGCTGACAAGATTGCATTGCAGGAGCTTAGATTCGTCGCAGGCATCATGTGAAAGATGCGCTTGGCATCTTCCAAATGCCCGTTTTGGGAATAAGCTGATAACATCGCATTCCATGACGGGAGGTCCAGTTCTGGAATGTCGTCAAAGATGAGCTTAGATTCCCTTAAGTTGCCATTTCGAGCATATGCAGCAAGCATGGCTGTCCAGGATACAAGGTCCTTCTGTGGCATCCTTGCAAATATTTTTCTTGCCTTTGAGAGATACCCGTTTTGGGCATATATCACGAGCATTGATGTCCAAGCAACGAGATCCGGTTGTGGAATCTCATCAAATATTACCTTAGACTCCTTGAGATTCCCATTGTGGGCATAAGCGATGAAAAGGGCTGTCCAGCAAACAACGCTGTGCTGAGGCATCTGGCTAAAAAACTGCTTAGCTTCCAGAAGATACCCATTTCGGGTATATGCCAAGAGCATGAGATCCCACGTCATGGAATCTCTTGCTGGAGGGTCCATGGAATCGAAAACTCTTCGTGCGTGCATTGCGCTGCCGCATCGCGCATACATTTGGATGAGCTTGTTGTTCACAAACAAGTCCAAATTTTCTTTGTAGCGCTGACAAACTTGGGAATGTATAGTTATCGCAAAGGAGAGGCTTTTGCAAGATTGTATGGCACAATCCATGTCTCAAAATTGTCATGGAGTGGCATGGCTTTGCAAGAGTGGACAAGAATGTAGAGGACGCCGTTGCCGGGGATCGAACCCGGGTCGTCCGCGTGACAGGCGGAAATACTCACCACTATACTACAACGACATTGACATTGATCAGGCTTTTGTTTATTTGATTTCCCCGCGCCATAGCATATACTAAGTATAATCTACCCTACGGATTTAACCTATTCCACATGCCATAGTGTGGGATGAAGCCACCAAAGTAGTATATAAAGTAGGGTTTGACGAGGATTAACATACTTACCTGAACGGGGTCTATTGGTGATCGTCAAGGCCAATGGCCTAGGTTCGGCCTTCCCATTGCACTTCGGCTTGGCCGGCCTATCATCTTTCCAAAGTGGAGGGGTGGACGTCGTAATTTGTGGAAGCTGAGGGCTCGCGTACGCGCGGCCTTCTCCAAATTGAAAAACTCTCTAAGTTGGACTATGTTTTTACTTTTTACAAAGATCCTTATCTTGTAATCATCTTGGAAATTGATAATTAGCTTATTTGCAGAATGTTCTAAAGTCTCTCGAGAAGAAAATCATATCCTACCGTCATATACAAACTTGTTTATAGATCCTCTTGTAATCATCTTGGAAATTGATAATTAGCTTATTTGCAGAATGTTCTAAAGTCTCTCGAGAAGAAAATCATATCCTACCGTCATATACAAACTTGTTTATAGATCCGTGGTGAATCTACAAAGCAAGGTTCACGTCATCAGGCTCTACGTCCATTACCTCCATTGCACTAACACAAAATTGGAGCTTCTCCACGAACTTGTTCATACAGGCCCGGCATCGGAGAACAAACCAGTTACTCTGCGAAACCCAAGCTTCAGAGACAACAAAAGAAAAGAAACCAAAGGAGAGCTACAAACAATCAACCAGGCACGAACATCACAGCTTACAAACACCAACCTATCGTATTTCAAGACGGCTTCACCAATCTGCCCGGCTATCTTGTTGCGAACCTTTTTAACAAGAATCTACAAAAAACGCGTCATGAGCACGAGGAACAAAAGCGCACACAGGAGATTTTACGCAAGTTCTCACGCAATCAACCAAAAACTTGCTCGAAACACACGCACACACAAAAGGAAAGTTACCTGGACTTGATCCAGAGGACCCTTCTCTGCGTCCCGGTTTCGATGAACTACAATGCCGTTGTCGCACTTGTTGATAAAATGAGCGCTTCCACTTATGTCATACATATTTGGCGGTTGTCCTTGCCAGTTGAGCATCTGTTCAGAACAAACAATTAGATTGCTATTAGGAACTGGACACAAAGAAATTTACTTGTCTCGGATGAGCGACGAACCAAACGTGACAGTCATGGTGTTGAGCAAAGCGTTTGATCTTGGTTAGTATCTGACTAACATATTCTGTTTCAGTCCTGCAAAACCAAGTTAGAGGAGGGAAGGAAATACGTTGAAATTTTAAACTATTACTGGCTGCTAGAGCGCTGATGGTCTAGTTCATTGTAAGGATCTATGACCAATCCTCGTATGCCATATCTTTGAACCGCTGCTTTTGCTCGATCCAAAACCCAATCAGCAGATGGAAGCTTCTCATTCTCACATCTACAATCGCAGTTACAACTTCGCTTCTCATACAAAACAATGCAAACCTGATTAAATAGAAATGGTTGTCCAGCCATTCTAGACCAGCAGCAAACTCTTCCGGAGTCAGTCTGGGCGTGGAGTTACTATACCTGTCAACGTGCAGTATGCCAGCTTTAGCTATGAGGAAGAAAACATAGTCAAAAAACAGTACTTGGCCTCAAAAAACGGCTTTCTGTAATGCTTCTCAATAAGCTTCCGAGCATGGTCCGTCACCTGGTCACAGAAGGATAAGTAAATGATAAACGTAAGAAAGCCATACCTTATTTTCCATGGAGCACAGCGCAAAACTCCAGCCTTTGGAGCGGTTCAGATTACAGACCAGTGCATCGATCCACTCACTTTTGCCAGAATTCGGAACTCCGGTCACAATTGTCAATTCTCCAGGAACAACCTACAAAGTCGTCATGTGAATAATAAAAACGATAGCCAAATTCTTACCGTATAATACTCATCTAGTCCCTTCCATCCAGTGGAAGCACCTTCCGCCTCCTCAACACGCATATGGTAGTAATCGTCAATCTCCTTGAAAAAATTAGAGAACTGAAAAAGTCCACGAATTGGATAGAGCTCCGATTTCGCAACAACTTCTCGCAGCGCTTCTGGCCCGAGCGTGAGCAGCACCTGACGATAAAAAACGTTGAGAGAAGTTCACTGTTAGAAACAAGTCGAAAACCTCGTTAGCGTCTTTCAACTGCTTTCCGTCGACGACTGGCCAGTTCACGCGCCAACAACGCTCACGACCGAAACGTCGAGCGAGTTCCTCGGCAAGAGCAAGTCCGGGACCGTCCGCATCGGTGGCCAGAAATATTCGAGTCACCTACACAAATATTATTTCATGCAAGTTTCGCAACGCAAATACTTCATCGGGAACTCGAACCTTTCCAAATTGTTCCTTACAATCCCAAAGATATGAGAATTTTTTGTCCTGCAATGCAAAAATATCTAGGTACATGAAATGCGTATGCTCGAACCATAATGCGTACCTCCTCAGGATCTGGCGTTTCACCGTCAGCAGCCTTCACAGGCGCACCATCGGGCACGCTAACGCAGTTTATGATACCAGCTTCTTCCATAGAAAGCTTATCCATTTCACCTTCAACCTGTCAAAAACACCAAAAAGAAATAAGAGTGAGCATATAACGCTGGAAAAATGCACACTTACAATGACAACTTCGTCTCTCCCTTTAATATCTTCTAAGCCATAGAATGTTCTCCTTGCAGCGCCCCGTGCCTGGTACAAACGGATCAAAACCGAAGCCAAAGCTACAAGCGTTTACCTTCCAAAAGCGTTTTTCGGGTATGGTTCGATATTTACAGTCGATGATTTTGTTCTCTTTGTAATAAGGAAATGCAATAGCCAGCTAAACGAGAAGTTATGGTCAAGAATATACACAAGAAAAAGCAAATACCTCTGAGCCACTGTAAATCTGTTCTACTCTATTTCGTTGCAATACTTTTTGAGATATACCACGGGTTGCGAACCATTTGATAACCTGCAAATGTAGTCAGACTCGTGCAATTCTTCTACTGCAGCTTACATCATCGCTCAAAGGTTGTAAATTCAAGCTTGTGCGTGAAAACTCTGTGATTTTGGGATTTCTCCAATGGTAAGCTGCTGCCATTTGTCGCTTGGTCAAGGCACTTCCGTTCTCATGTGGTACATTTGCCTGATGCCAACAAAGAAAAGAAAAAACACCCGAGTTAGCTATGGATGTCATTTAAATAAATTGCTTCACCTTTCCATGATATCCACAAGTGCTCCGATGGCATTTCCAAATGGCTGTCCATCTACAGAACAAATAAAAAAATGTAGTCGCGTGAAAAAACGAACAAAAACGTACTCGTCCTCAAGCCTCAAAGAAAAGCTGGGCTCGTATGTGGTACCTCCATTACACTGCCCAAAAGAAAGAAACACAGTAAAACTTGGAAAAAGAAGCTCTTCACGCACCTGGGGACATATTAGACGATGCTCTTTCCCAAGCGTCCAATCATCCATGACAATGCCCAGCTTCTCCAGCTCGAAACGAACAGGCAGTTGATCGTTCTTTCTCAAGTCTACAATGACGCTCTCTCAGAGCAACAAAAAGAGAAATAAATCACTTACACGCATTCTCGGATGCGGCAGAAGCGAACTGGCAGACAGGACTCCCTCTCGCGCTGATTTGGAGCTCCCATCTTCTTGGCAAAAAAACTGGCAGAGATTTTCTAGAAGCGGGAAGGAATGGAGAGGAGGAGACCGGCGAATGCCGCTGCAATAGCAGCATCATAGAATTCCTCCACAGGGCAACGCCCAGCTGCGAAGAACTCACCGATTTCAAGCCGAGCTGCTCGACCAGCGCCATGCTTCTCGGCTTAGCTGATTTTCTCCATGGCCAAATGGAGACCTAACGTTTAAGCCCTAAACCCTCTATCCTAAAGCCTTGGGGCCTCAGCCGTCCACGTGGACGGAGCCGGGAGACCAGGGTTCGATTCTTAGCATGAGCAAAAGAGTTTTTTAACGACTCATTAAATTTAAATGCATGAGAGGCGGGAGCTTTAGAAACCCTAGAGAAGGAATGCCGGGAAGGTCGAGAAGGCGCAAGGGTTTGCAGCGCCATCCCAAGGTACTGCGAGCTGTGTATGGCGATCGCCTGCGATTTCTATGGCAGCTGGTGCTGGAGCTCCTCGGCCGCGGCCGCGACGGAGCAGGGATCCTGTTCCAGGAAGGGGATTCGGCCGATTACAAGGAGCTCTTGTATGATAGCTATGCGGTCCTTTCTGAGAGCGCCCCGTCGCTTAATACTGCTGCATTTTCACTCGATCAGCGGTGGTCGCAGCAAGAGGTATTTCTAGCTTTGTATTATAATGGATCGGTAGCAATATATTTTTTTTCTTAGCTAGGTTGTTCACAGGGTCATTGAGCTGCAATTCAGGAAGAGCGAACGACCGTCTCATGTTTTATGCTTTGGGTACCAGCAGGTCAGTTGGTGTTTACTAGAAATGAAAATGACTAGCTTTCTGGTTTTCGGTTTTTCAGAATTTGGAGTGCCTATTTCGCAGCACAACTGTGGATGCTGTAACTTCCACTGCGTGGTGTGTTCTTCATTCCCGTGTAGGCAAGATTTTGTTTTTTTGGCCGTGGCTCTTGAAAACTTCTGTTTTCTTTTATACTTGCAGGTGATCTCCTCATGCTACACTTGCTATCTCATGCTGCTGTATTCGCTTCTCTTCCAAATTGTTGCTACATGCAAGTTTCGGGTACTCCGATCACTTTGCTAGCATCAGCTAGCCAGCGACGGATATCGCAGGAGTTTTTGAGTTTTATTTCGTCAAGAAGCCATGAAAAGTCCTACTCTCTTGAAGGTAAGCAGGCTTTGTTCTCCTTGCTTCTTTATTTTTTTTTGTCAAAACAGGTGTGATAAATGAAAATTCTCCACAATCAATATCACAGATTGAACCTCAAGGTGCAGCTTTTAAAAAGCGTAGAAGACCTTTCAGCTGGCAACGAAGGAAAAAGCAAAAAGTAATATTTGTGGTTCTCCGTTTCTCCGATTTATTTGATAATCCTCAGGTGGTGGAGCGCTTGGAAAGTGTGCCTGCAGCCTGTCATAGACAGATTGATCGTGCACAGATGTTTTATAGCACTTGTTTTAACAGGAAGGGGGGACTGCCAAAAACTCGTATCCTTTAGTAATTTGAATTTGTTTCTGGTAAATCCTTGACCAAGGCAGATATTCTTTTTACATCAGCAGCTAGTAAGGACGGGGGAGCTGCGTGGTTGTTCGAGTCAATATTTGGAAGCAAAACAACCGAAAAGAGGTACTTCTCGATGAGCTTTGTGCGTTAAGTTTCTGAAAATATCTTTCACAGCTACCCACCTTCTATTCTGCGGCTTCTGAAGAGACTAATCTGTCGCGCTAAAAAGTTTCAGTGTGGCCATCTTTTGAAACGGCACTGTCCTGTGCCAATTTTGCCACGGAAGGTATTGCTGCCAGAATATTTCGTATGTTCTGAGGATAAGCGTGCAGGAAATCGATGGCAATCTTTACTTTAAAGATATGTTTCTGAATGATGGATATGTTACTCAAGAGGAATCTCGTGGAGATTCTTCATGTTCATGCAAGTCAGTGCCTGATCCAAGGAAAGGTAGCACCAAACCAAAAAATGAGAGGCCTTTATCAGAGCTGCTGGCCATGACCTCGACCAACCATCAAGTTGTGGCATTCTTGTGGGCTGCTTCCAGGAGGCTCATACCCCAGGAAATGCTCGGGTCTCCCAAAAACTGGAGAGCTCTTCGAAAGCAGTATGCACGCTTTGTTGGACTTCGGAGGTACGAAGCATTTTCCTCGGTTCAGCTGTTGCAGAAGCATAAGGTTTCCGACTTTACTTTTCTGAGCAAGCGGGATACAATCAAGGAACTCGAAGGAGTTGGATATTTCCGAACTCAAATGGTAGAAGACTGGCTATACTGGATTTTTACAAACGTATTGGTTCCTCTGATACGTGTTCACTTCTACGTTACAGAGAGCGAGAATCAACGGCAAAATGTGGTGTTTTACCGGAAGCCTATATGGTCGCAGATTCAGTCTGCGGCTGTTCGTGATCTATCAAAGACTGTCTACAAACGTGTGGACGCTGACAAAGCCCTCAGGAACCGAGCACTGGGATTCTCTAAAGTCCGGCTTCTTCCGAAAAAAACGAGCGTCAGACCAATAGCTAATCTCGGCTCGGCATCAATCTACGTGGTCAAGCGTAAAGACTCCACCTTTCTGAAGTCCAGGAAAGGAAAACGGGTTGTTCATGTCAGCCATCGAAGGAGATCATCCGATCTAAGTTCCGGTTCCAGGGGTGATGGGAAAATTCAGACAGTTTATTCGTTCAAGTCCGTCAATTCTGCTCTCGGGGATGCTCATCAGTGTCTGAAGCTTGAGCAAGAAAGTCATCAAGGTGATCTTGGCGCGTCTGTATTCGGCTACAACGACATCTACTTGAAGCTGCTTCCTTTCATCCGACGTTTCAGACAACGAGAACCAACGAAAGTTTTTCTGGCTGTTTGTGATGTCGCTAATGCGTTCGACACTATCGATCAGGAACGGCTTTACAGCATTGTTGACAAGTTCTTGCACGAGGAGAAGTACGTTGTTTTGCGGTTTACTTCCGTCCGTAGCAGGCTGGCATCTGTCCGAGTGCTTCACGAGAAAGCCTGTGCTACTGCGGGGAGTGATGGGAGGGTCTACAACTTTGTTCGAAACTTGACAACTAAGCGCTCCGAAACAATATTTACTGATCAGGTTTGTTCTTTGGTTATTACAGGGCGTTGTCTTACTAACAAATCGTTACCACAGGCCTATCACTCTAATGTGTCAAGAGTGCAGCTATTGAGAGTTCTCAAAGAACACATCAAATCCAATATCTTGCACCTCGGCCACAACTTCTTTCAACAATTTACCGGTATTCCTCAAGGCAGCGTACTTTCGTCTTTCCTATGCGCGTTATACTATGGTTACCTGGACTTGCGCCACATACTACCAGCTTTACAAGGGAAACCTCAGGACGGCCTGGTGAAGGAAGAGACCACAGACGAGGCTCTTCTTATGCGGCTGGTGGACGACTCCTTATTTATATCGACGTCTGAAGCAAAGGCAACACTTTTCTTGAACGTAATGCACAGGGACCTCGAACAGTTCGGATGCTGTGTCAACGAGGACAAAACATCTACAAGCTTTGATACTGACATTAGTGGGAAGAACGTGAAGTCCATGTATTCGACTGAAGATGGGGCTTGTTTCATGCGATGGAGTGGTTTGCTCATCAACTGTCACACTCTTGAAATCCAAGCCGACTATACGAGGTTCGTTTGAAAGCGATCACGTTTCTTGTATGTTTTGACATGTTTTTACAGATACTGCGGCGAACACATCAGATCTAGTCTGACGGTCATGAGGTGCCACAAACAAGGACTGAATCTGGTTGTGAAGATGTTTCATTTCATGAGGCCGAAATGTCATCCGGTATTTTACGACTCCGAGATCAACTCAGCATCAACGATATCCTTGAACGCATACCAAGCGTTTCTTCTTTGTGCGATGAAGTTTCATGCGTATTTGAAGTGCTTACGGCCATTCAACGTCAATAATCCACTATTCCTTTTCCAGGCAATTCGAAGAACGACGAGGTGAGTTGTATTCCTGAAGATAAGAGTGACCAAGTCTTTTTCCAGGTATACCTTTCGATTGATTCGGCAAAGAATGCAAGCCGTGGGATCTGGGAAAGTATTGAGCCGAGCAAAAGAAATGGAGTGGCTAGGCTGGGCAGCGTTTCACAAAGTACTTTCGAAGAAGCAAAGCACTCACAAGCGTCTACTGTTACTGATTCAGAGAGAACTCAAGCTGGACAAATACAAGCACTACCGTTCTGCCCCACATATGCTTTCAGCAACGGACGAGACGCGTTCTTCAATGTTCAAAACCATCAGGTATTGAGTTTTCTTTTCTAAAAACTGCATCTCTGAAGGGCAGTGTTGATAAAAGGTTTTGAAGGAAATGATACGGGGGGAACCATTTGCTACAGCAGGACATCTCAGCTTCTTGCAAGACAGCATTCCAGGTTCAGAGAGGCCAGATAGGAGCTCAGGGAGAAACGGGGAGGTATCTCAAGGAGACTTACGGGCTTATCACTATTTTCATCTGGATGGGAAGCGGCCAGACATTTTCCTTACTATCGCCGCTCTCAAGTTTTGCAGCCGCGCCAAGGACTTAGAAAACGGAAAGAAGATTCACGGCTACGTGGTCGAGAGCAGGGAAGACAGAGACGTCTACGTTGCGAACGCGCTGCTGGCTATGTACGCAAAATGCGGCAGCCTGGGTGAGGCCCGTAAGACTTTCGACGGTATACTGCAGCCGACAGTCGTTTCATGGACGTGTGTGATCTCGGGATATGCAGACTGTGGAGAGGCAGGCTTGGCTTTGCAACTGTTTCAACGTATGAGGGAAGAAAACTGTCTGCCGAACCGTGTCACATTTTTCGCTGCCTTGAAGGCCTGTTCTGGCTTAGCGGAGGTGGAAGAAGAAGCTAAGCAAGCGGACGGAAGGCTCGTAAAACTTGTGTCACTGGAGAAGGGACGGGAAATCCATGCTCAGGCTGCAAAGTTTGGGCTCGACAGGGACACTTTCGTGGCGAGCTCTTTGGTGGACATGTATGGGAAGTGTGGGAGTATGGAAGACGCTCGCAGAGTTTTCGACAAGATTCAAGGCTGCCAAGACGTCGTTCTGTGGAACTCCATCATTCTCGGCTATGCTGAATGTGGAGACGGTTGCGCGGCACTCGAGTTGTTCGAGGACATGCAACGGAAGGGGTTTACACCGAACGCTCGGACTTTCGTCGCTGCTGTCAAGGCTCTGGCTTGCTTAGCCACACCCACGGAAGGTATCCTCCAAGCGGCTCAGTGCGACGAGAAGACTTTCATCAGGTGGTGCCTCGTCAAGGCCAGAGATATTCACGCCGTGATCGAGAGCAGTGGACACGCAAGGAACGTATTCGTGGCCAGCTCTTTGGTGGACATGTATGGGAAGTATGGAAGTCTAGCGGAGGCAAGGCGTGTCTTCGACAACATGCGGCTTCACGACGCCGTGTCCTGGAACTCCATGATCCTGGGATACGCAGAGGCTGGAGAGCACGAGATGGCTTTGGAGCTGTATCAACGCATGCAGAGAGAAGGCTGTGAACCAAACCGAGTGACTTTCGTTGCTGCGCTCAAGGCCTGCTGTGGCTTGGGAGCTCTGGAAGTGGGAAGAAGTATAGAGGCGAATGCGGTGGACTTGAAAATGGAGGCTGATATCGTCGTTGCGACTTCGCTGGTGGATTTCTACGGCAAGTGTGGCTGTGTGGCTGATGCGCAGCGGGTTTTCGACGCATTCCCGGCAACGAAAACCAAAGGCCTGGTTACTTGGAATGCGCTGATCGCGGGGTACAGCCGCCAAGGGGACTGCAAGATGGTCTTCGGGATCTTCGAGTGCATGCACAGGAAACGCTTGCAACCGGACGGGATCACGTTTTTATCAGTTCTCGCCGTGTGCTGCCATGGCGGACTGGTGGAAGAAGGCAAGAAGTACTTCCAGGCCATGCTTCCAAGCTACTCGGTTTCTCCCACAGCCGAGCACTATGGTTACATGGTCGAGCTGCTGGGCAGTGCAAACCAGCTCGACGTCGCCCTGGGGATGGTGAGGAGCATGCCTGTGCGGCCGAGTTTGAGCATCTGGATCACGCTCCTGGGAGCGTGTCGGAAGTGGCGGAACGTAGCTATCGGAGAGCTTGCATTCGAGGAAGCAGTGAGACTGGACGAGAAGAATGCCTCGGCGTATGTGTTGATTGCGGCGATTTACAAGGAAGCGGGAATGCGGGAAGAGAGCGCTCGAGCCCAGGCAGCTTTGCATATTCTTTAAATTACTCTTGTCATGCGAAAATTTCTTTATAAAGAGCTTTAAAGCTTAGAGTTTAGGGTTTTAGATCGAGGTTCTACCCTATGGAGATTCAGTGATTGAGGGAGGAAAGCAGTGGTACATTTGATAAAAACCAGCCAAAAGAGACGAGGTCGATTCGGTCATTGTGCTACTTTGGAATCCAACGAGGCAATTGCAGCTGCAGCACCAAATCAAGGCAAGGATCAGACTTTGGCTTTAATCTCTGGTGCTGAAGGCTGCACGTCTCTTCCCGCGAAGTATAATTGCTCTGATCAAGTGTTTAAGTTCCGATGGAGATCTATACAATTTCAATTTCAAGGTCAGTTCGTGATTGCCATATGTTTTTATATGTTTGTAATGATCTTTACTTATCTTGCAGATAAATCTTGCGAGAAATCACGGATGGTGCTACGATCCACCTATTGAGCCAGTAGCGGAATGTGTATTGGTGAAGAACCTTTCTGGAGTTGTCTGGAAGTGAAATATTTTCCACTCTTTTACTAGGTCACCAGGAGCTCCTGACGAGAAAGACCAGCCTAGCCCCAGCAGAATGACCCACGAGCTCGTCCATGCAAGGAAGGAGGAGGCGAGCTCCCGCAGCTGATGCACAGTGAGTTTCGACCAAAGGAAGCTCTGAGACTAAATTCCTTAAAAGCACATACTATAAAATTAAACCTAATTGAAAAAGCAAAAAGTTATATAATGTTGAAAAAATTACTATATAGCAGGTTAAGTTTATAAAAAGGCTGCTTGGACTGAGCTTATGTTAGAAATTTAAAAGGATCATATATCTATTAAATATATTTGTAGCACTGATAAATATATATTTTTAATATCAGCTCCAGTATTGGACTAAACATTTCATAAATAAGGTTAAATGTAAATCAGTATACACTACAAGAAACTTTGGGATAAATACTACACTTATTTTAATTTTATAAAAAATAAAATTATATAAAAAGATATGGGTATGGGAATAAGAAGGGTTATCCCTACTTATATACAAGAATGGATAAATTAAATTTAGTCATAAATAAATGGTAAATATGTTATACTACTATAAATAGTGTATTATCTAGGCAAGGTATATATATATATATTACAAACCTTACACCAATTCTCACTAAAAGATAGAAAGGTGATAATGATAAATTAAGTGGAACATAACTTTCATGACCTATGCTAACTCAAACTCATTACTTTTGTTCTCATTTAACATTGTACATGGGAGGTTGAACTCATTTTATTTGTTCTCCACATCCTCATTATCCCTTTGAAGAAAATTTTTCTTTGAAGTATTAGCTTTAATTGAATTGTAATGTATATGATTTTCATCTTTTATCCTATAATGATTTACCATATGATAACCACGAAGTGGAACCTAAACCATCCACATGCCACGTGTCATATGCCATGTATCACATGCCATATGCCTAGGGACAGCAGAGCAAAACCGAAGTTTCAAAGCTTTAGGCCACTAAATGAAAAAACAAAGCAAAACTCTTAAACATAGAGCTACGGAGCAAATAAACTAGATCATGGAGAGACTATTGAGCATACAGTTTAAGGAGCGAAGGAATATGAGTATGGAATGACTTGGAACAATCGTAAAGCATTTAGCATCATAATGTTAGGACCAACATGCAAAATGGAGTTAAAAAGAGTTTGACACTATTTTAGTATACCAATGGTCTAACGTGAGGATATGGATATGCTACTAATTAGCATAATGTAAAATTTAAATTTAGACTTAAACCAAACACAAAACAAAAATAGATATGCAAATAGGAGTTAGATTATACTTTAGGTTGGTTGGCCATGCCTGACCTACCCACTATCTCTACTATACATTTGGAACTTCATACATCCCCCCCCTTGAAAAACACATCCTTTAAACTTTCACTCTTAGCCACCTTTAGTACCAAAAGTTAACTTGAAATTACTAAATATGGAATGGTATTAGATTGCTAATTTAGATATGGAACCAACATTATTGTGTTCAAGACAATCTTTACATTCTATAGATATGCTAAATTACTAAATCTAAACACTTTCTATAAATAACAATTAGGACTGAATAGACTTAACATAAAATACATGATACCAAGGGTGTTTGGTAGACATGGTAAGTTATCATCTTGTGAATATTTAAGGACCAAGCTCAATATCATGAGGGTTCCCAACACTAGTAAGTGCAAGCCAACATATAAATTTCTCTTACCAGGCTAAATATGTTCAACAAGAAACACATAAGAGTTCATACTTTATATTTATTTTGCATAAGTACATATATGATAACCAGTTGCTCAATTAACTTGAGTGGAAACTAATAAAGGATTTAACATTTGTAACATGAACTTGCTACATTTATCCTTATTTTGCTAATTATGTTTGGCTTCACTCTATTATCATATTTATTCAACCTTACTACATCGGGGTTAAATATTCTATTTAGACTCATTACATTTATCTTCACTTCACAATCTACTTGCTTCACTTTTATATTTATTCATTTTCACTTTATTGTTGGGGTTGGACTCTTGTCTATTAAGTTGATAATTAATCTTTAGTTGTTATGAAAAAAAAGTTGGAAGTGTTTGAGCAAAGAGAAGAAATTACATATCCTGAGCATTCAAGAAACATTACAATTTGTTTTTGGAAAATAAAGTTTTTTTCTAATGATTTACAGTGTTTGGGATTATGCTTTTGCTTTTGTTTTATTATTCTTTTTTTCTCTTTAGATTTGTTATAGCTTTTCACCAGATTTAGGATTATCACTATTTAATCCAATGCAACTTTAGATCCTTAATTAATAATGGCATAGCACGGTAGAAGAATAGAATGCAATGGAAATCAGATGATACATTGTTGTTGTGGCTGTATCCTCTTTATATTTATAGACCTTACAAAAGTAAATTATTATATAAAATATTTATTTATTTCATTTTCACTTAAATATCATAAAGAAATCTTTATATAAGTATGATAAATTGTCATGGTGAATCTCTACAAAGAATGTTTATTGATTAATAACCTTTCTGGAGTTGTCCTGGAAGTGTGAGAATTTTCACACTTTTACTACTTCATCCATTTACGCAATCAAACCACCAAATCCAATAAGCAAATGCGCAACACCACAGATAAATGGGCCACGTGGCCGAATCCAAACGAGAGAACCTCGCAGTGGAGAGGCGACAAAGCCTTGGATGATATAGGCTATGGTATCGCGCCAGGCGCATCCTCCTCTAGCTTAGGTCGCGAAGATCATCGCAATGCCGGCCATGGCGGGAGCGCTCGAATCCCCCGCTACTCTCTCCGGCGGCGCCAGGCACCAGGAGCTCCTGACGAGGAAGATCGGCTTTGGAGGTAATCGCCTAGCCCTAGCGCCACAGCAGAATGGAGCGAGCTCGCGGAGAATTGAGGCGAGGCTGAAATCCAGCGCCGGCTCCGCGAGCTCGTCCATGCTGCTGGAGCTCGTCCCGGAGAGGAAGAAGGAGAGCTTGAGCTACGAGCTCCCGCTATTCAATCCGTCCAGGAAAGGGCCTCTGGATCTGGTTGTGGTGGGCGGAGGGCCTGCCGGGCTCGCAGTTGCCGCTCGAGTGTCCGCCGCTGGGCTTAGCGTTTGCTGCATCGATCCTTGCCCGCTCAGCATCTGGCCGAATAACTATGGCGTCTGGGTGGACGAGTTTGAGGCGCTGGATTTGCTCGATTGCTTGGATCACACCTGGGCGAGCGCTGTGGTTTACATCGATGATGGTGTCAAGAAGTTCTTGCAGCGGCCGTATGGACGCGTGAACAGGAAGCGATTGAAAGCCAAGATGACCGAGCAGTGCATCGCTAATGGCGTCCAGTTCCTGGCAACCAAGGTAAGTTTCCTTCTCTCTTTCCGGACGTTGAGAATGCTTCATGGATTGATCTTCCTTGTTCTTTTTCTCGCGAGTTCTCATTCTTTGTTTCCTTTTCTTTGTTCTGAAGAACGTAGCGCATGACAGAGGAATCTCTCGTCGCAATGCTCCATGCATTGATCTTCGTCGTTCTCTTTCTCGCAAGTTCGTTCATTGCTCTTCCTCGTTCTCTTTCTCGCGAGTTGGTTCATGTTTTTCTTTCTTTCTCACGAGTTTTTCGTTCTCTCTTTTTCTTCTCAGGTGAAGAACGTAGTGCATGACAGAGAGAAATCTCGCGTCGCGTGTGAGGATGGAACTTGTCTCGAAAGCGCGTTGGTTCTCGACGCAACCGGGTTTTCGAAATGCCTCGTGCAGTATGACCAGCCTTTCAATCCAGGATACCAGGTGGCTTATGGGATTGTGGCCGAGGTAAGCTTTGTTTCTCTCGTGTTCTTTCGCAAAGCTTCCCCTCAGGTGGACTCGCATCCATTTGATCTGGACAAGATGGTCTTTATGGACTGGAGAGACTCGCACTTGGCTGGAAATCCCGAGATGATTCGTGGCAACAAGAAGCTTCCAACTTTTCTCTACGCCATGCCGTTCTCGTCAACCAAGATCTTTCTAGGTAGGACAGAGCTCGCATCCGCAAGTTCCTTTTCCTTTTCGTTATGCTTCTCCAGTGCTTTTGCAGAGGAGACTTCTCTAGTAGCGAGACCCGGCGTGCCCCTCAAAGAGATACAAAAGAGAATGGAGGTACGGCTCAGGCACCTGGGCATTCACGTAAAGAGCATCGAAGAGGACGAGTAAGTGCCATGCTTTCGTCCTTCGCATCTAAAAGTTTGCGAGTTTCGTGTAGAGTCTGCGTGATTCCAATGGGAGGTGTTCTTCCGGTTATTCCACAAAGAGTCCTGGGCATCGGAGGTACCGCAGGCCTAGTTCATCCATCCACTGGTAAGTTTATAGACGATTTTCTTCGCAATGTCGTTCGTTTTTCACTGCAAAACTTTCTTTTTGATCTTTCTCTCCAGGTTACATGGTTGCGAGAACATTAGCCGCGGCTCCGGTGGTCGCAGACGCTATCGTTCGCCAGCTCGGTAGCAGTAGAAGTAGCAGCAGTGTCACACATCTCCCCGACGATTTATCAGCTGAAGTATGGGCCGATCTCTGGCCGATCGAGAGAAAGAGACAGCGGGAGTTTTTCTGCTTTGGCATGGACATATTACTCAAGGTAAGCTTTCTCTCTCTCTCTTTTTTTTTTTCTGTTTTTTTGGTTTTTCGTTCGCTGCTCAAACAAACTTATCCCAGCTCGACTTATACGCGACGCGGAGGTTTTTTAGCGCTTTCTTCGACTTGGAGCCTCGGTTATGGCAGGGCTTTTTGTCCTCGCGCCTTTATCTTCCAGAGGTCTTTACGCTCCCCTCTATCAATTCACATCCTTGGCAGCTTTCCGTTGTTATTTGATTCGGCCACTCACAAGTGTAAAAATTCTCGCAGCTCGTCGCGTTTGGTCTGTCGCTGTTCGCGCACGCACCGGCAAAATCGAGACTAGAGATAATGGCCAAAGGAACTCCAGCGCTTGTCACGATGGTAAACAATCTAATCACCACAAAAAGCTAAAAACGTTGATAGAAGTTATCGTTTTAAACCAAGCGGATATTCTTTAAGGAATCTAAGACAGATTCTTATCACTGGTTTCGAACCCGGAACTTTCATGGGGGCTATAAATTGTAAAGTGGGTTAGCGAGTTTTTTATTTCGAGGAGGGAAGGTCTCGCGATGGCGGAGGAGTTCTTCTGGTCCGAGAGCGACGAGCCTCACGCATTGAGGCGGCGCCAGATGCTAGCCGCGTATCCGGAGATCAAGGAGCTCTTCGGGCCAGATCCATCGGGCTTCTTTAAGGTCAGCGCCCCGCCCTTTTCTCTCCTTGCTCCAGCGCTCAATCCCCATCGCCGCGGGGCAATGTGGGATGCTGGCGCCTCCGATTCGCGATATTTCGATTCATTCCTCCAGTGCTTGTGCAGATTTCCGGCGTGGTGCTGCTCCAGATTTGCGCCGCGGCCTTGGTCCGCGATCTCGGTTGGCCCTTCATCGTCCTCCTCGCGTATTTCTTCGGCGCATTCCTCAATCACAACCTCTTCCTTGCGATCCACGAGCTGAGCCACAATCTCGTCTTCGCCACGCCGCTCCTCAACAAAATCCTCGGGATTTTTGCCAATCTCCCAGTCGGCATCCCCATGTCCATCACGTTCCAGAAGTACCACTTGGATCACCATAACTATCAGGGGATCCAGGGCCTGGACGTCGACATCCCCAGCTACAGCGAGGGCCGGATCGTCAGGAACACCGCTAGCAAGATCGTCTGGGTGTTCTTCCAGCTCTTCTTCTACGCTCTCCGGCCACTCTTCGTCAATCCAAAGCCTCCAGGACTCTGGGAGGCGCTTAACTTATCAGCACAGCTACTCTTCGATGCCGCCTTGGTATACTTCGCGGGCTACAAGCCACTGGCCTTTCTCATCCTCTCGACGTTCCTGGGTGGCGGACTCCATCCCATGGCCGGGCACTTCATCTCCGAGCACTACGTCTTCCAAAAGGGCCAGGAGACGTACTCTTACTACGGCCCGCTCAATCTCCTCACCTGGAACGTCGGCTACCACAACGAGCACCACGACTTCCCGCGGATCCCCGGCAGCAAGCTCTACAAGCTCAAGCAGATCGCTCCAGAGTTCTACGAGGGGCTAGCCTCGCACAGCTCCTGGATCGAGGTGATCTACAGATACATCACGGATCCCACCATCGGGCCCTTTTGCCGAACGATCCGGAGGCCCGAGAACAACATGCTTTGCCGGAGACTCAACGAGATGGGTATCAAGAAGAGCTCTTGAGCGCCACCATCGCCTCCTCAACAAGGTGACGAGCTCTAGGCTCTATATATCTTCTATAAGTTCTATCTTCTATAACTATACCGTGATCACAGACAAGCTTTGATGGTGACGACGAAAGCGAAGACAAAGGCGAAGAAGTGGTGCTATGGAAACTAAGATCATGGTCCTCGGCAGAATCGGCATACAGGCTCGCAAGCAGCAAATAAGGTGTGGAGGCTTGGTCGTCGGCTCTTAATAAAATCTCGGCGGCTCTGGATCCACGATCTACGTCGTTGTGCTTCCGGCATGCCGCCAGCAGCGATCCCCAGGCAACTTGGTCAGGAAAGAACGGCATGGTCAGTATGAGCTCCTCGGCATCGCCGGTTCTTCCCGAGCGTCCCAGCAGATCGACCATGGAGCCGTAGTGATCGGGGCCAGCGCCAACGCCGTGATCCGCGATCATGCTCAGCAGCTTGGATCGCCCAAAGCTCGCCATTCCCAGATGGTTGCAAGCCAGGAGGACCGAGAGAAAGGAGAGCTCGTCCGGATCCACGCCGTGGAGCTCCAAGTTTTGGAAGAGATCGAGAGTTTCCAGGCCGTGGCCATTGAGCGCGTAGGCCTGGAGCATCGCGTTCCAGGTGATGAGATCCACGGCTAAGTCCTCGTCCTCGAGCATGGCATCGAAGAGATTCCTGGCATCTGCCACGCGGCCGTCGTGGGCATATGCCGTGAGCATCGCGTTCCGGGAGATGAGGTTCTTGTCGGGGATGGCGTGGAATATCCGCATCGACTCGTCCGTGTGCCCGCCCAGGGAGCAGGCGTAGGCCAGCGCCGTGCGCGACACCGCGTTTGGCGCCGGGATCTGCGCGAAGAGCGCCCGGGCGGCCGGCAGCTCGCCGTTCTGGGAATATGCCTGGAGCATCGCGTTCCAGGAGCTGGTGTTTCGCATTGGCATCTTTTCGAATGTAGCTTTCGCGTCTTCTATCAAGGAATTGTCTCCAAATGCCGTGATCATAGAGTTCCAGGGAATGAGGCCTCTAGAGCACAAGGTATCAAAGAATCTTTTGCTCTGGGCGATGTCTAGATTGCGTCCATAGGCTGTGATCATGCTCGTCACCGAGAACTCACCATGCTTTGGCACTAGATCGAAGATTCTCTTCGAATCTACGATCCTAGAAGTCGCGATGAATGCCGCTAGCAGCGCGTTCCAAGAGATGGAATCTTTGGATCCCCGTGGCATGGAATCAAAAAGCTCCTTTGCTCGGCCAAAATGCCCTTTCTCGGCAAGTGCGGTAATGGCCACTGTCCACGACACGGTGCCGTACATGGGCATGTGGTCCAGGACACGCAGCACAACTTCCACGCTGGCGCCATTCTCCACGTACGCACCAACCAGCGAATTCCACGTGAGCATATCCCTGCCGTCGGTGATCTCGAAGAGCTCCACACACTGCCGTAGATGCCCGCTCTCGGCAAATGCGGTCATCATCGCGTTGTGAGACACAACGCTGTGTTTAGGGCTCTTGGAGTATGTGGATCTCGCCATCGCGAATTCGCTCGTCACGGTCCATAGATGGAGCATCGAATTCCACGACACGACGTCCCTCTGCGGCATAATCTCGAAGAAGCTCCTCCCGGCGTCGATTTGCCCGCTCTGGATCTTCGCCGCGAGGAGGACATTGCAGGAGAAGACGCTCCAGGCCGGCATTCGATCGAAGATCCATCCGGCCTCGCGCGCGGTGCCGCAGTCGGCGTAGCCGGAGATCATCGAGGTCCAGGTCACAAGGTCGCGGCAGGGCATGCCATCGAAAATCCTCTTGGATTCTTGGGGATTTCCATCCTGGAAGAGGGCCGAGATCATCGCGCTGTAGGAGAAGACGTTCTTGGCAGGGATGCTGTCGAAGACGCGAATCGCGTCCTCCAGGCTGCCGCATCGAGCGTACATCCGGATGAGAAGATTGGCAAGGTATCGATCCAAGCTCTGGCCGCTTTGCAGGATGGATTCATGCGCTCGCCTCCCCTGGGCAAGGTCCCTGGTTTGCGCACAACTCGCGATGATCTTGGCGAAGGAGGAATAATCCGGGCGCTTGCTAACGCTCATCTGATGGATCGATGCCGCTCGATCTGGAAGAACTCGCGTCCAAGATCCGATATTACGGGCAGATCAGGGATCTTTCCGGTGGCCAGCGCCTCGATCGCCTCATCCAGCGCAGTGGCTTCAGCAAGAACAGGTATCTCTTGAATCTCCTGGTGGAGATGTACGCCGATTGTGGCAGCATCGATGCCGCGACACAGGTGTTCTTCCTGATCGACCGGCCCAATCTCTTCTCCTGGAACATCCTTCTCACAGCGTATGCGCAGAACGGGCATCTGGATCGCGCTGCGGAGATCTTCGCGAGAATGCCCGAGAGGAACCTGGTGTCTTCGAATGCTATCATCTCGGCATATGCCCAGGCCGCGCAAATCCACAAGGTTCTATCGCTCTTCACGACTATGCCACAGAAGGATATAATCTCGTGGAACGTTCTTCTCAAAGCGTATGGAGAACAGGGAAATGCCACGCTAGCAAAGGAAGTGTTTGAAAAGATGCCAGAGTGGGACTTGGTATCGTGGAATGCCATGATCGCCGCTTATGCCCTGTGCGGGCATATTGGAAAAGCGAGAGCACTGCTGGGGAGAATTCCCATCCGGAGCGTTCTCTCTTGGAGCTGCATCGTCCAAGCCTTCGTCCAGCACTCCGGGAACTTGGGCGATGCCAGGGAAGTGTTCTTCGAGATGCCGGAGTGGGATGCCGCGTCCTCCACTGCGATTGTCACGCTGCTCTCGCAACAGTGTGGCCTGGAGCAAGCCCAAGAGGTTTTCAATGGGATGCAGCACAGGAACGTCACGGCCTGGAACGCCATGCTGCTGGTTTACATCCGGTGCGGGCATCTGGAAGGAGCCGAGAGTGTGTTTCACTCCATGCCGAGGAAGAACATCGTCTCCTGGAACTCCATGATCCACTTCCACGTCCAAAACGGGAACTTTGAGTCGGCAAAGCGGATGTTCCTCTCGGTGCCCGAGCACGACGTGTTCTCGTGCACGGACATGATAACCGGCTTCGCTCGAGTCGGGCTCCTCAAGGATGCAGTGAAGATCTTCAGCGAAATGCCTGAGTCCAACGTTGTTTCCTGGACTGCGATCGCGGCGGCGCACGCTCAGCTCGGCTACACTGTAGAAGCGATGGATCTCTTCGACAGGATGGCAGAGAGAGACGTGGTTGCGTGGACAATGCTGCTGACGACTCATGCTCAAGCCGGGAAGATCACCGAGGCGAAAACCCTCTTTGATCAAATGCCGGAAAGGAACTCCTCGTCCTGGAACGCAATGGTGGCGGCACTCGCTCAAAGCGGGGACTTGGAGGCCGCAAAGTCGCTGCTGGACAGGATGCCACATCACAGCGTGATCTCCTGGAACTCCATGATCGCGGCTTACGGTCGCCTCGGGTACCTCGAGGAAGCGAAGAAACTCTTCGACCGAATACCCGAGCACAACTTGGTATCCTGGAATTCGCTGCTCGCCGGACACGCTCAAAACTCCAGGAAAGCCGAGGATCTCTTCGCGTCCATGCCGGAAAGGAACCTCGTGAGCTGGGACTCGATGCTGGCAGCGTACGCCTGCGAAGGAAACGCTCGGGCTACCGCTAGGATGTTCGAGAGAATGCCCGAGACGGGATTGATCTCCTGGAACCTGGTCATTACGATCACTGCTCGAGCTGGACACGGCCAGGCGACGCTAGATTTCTTCCGGCTCATGAACTTGGGTGGAGTCTTGGCCGACGAGATCACTTTCACCGGAGTTCTCACGGCTTGTAACCATCTCGGGCTGCTCGCCGAGTGCTGGGAGTTTGTCCTCTCGATGAGTGCCGACTACCATCTTGCGCCGGCGATGGAGCACTACTGCTCGGTGGTGGACATCTTGGGCCGCTCGGGCCAGCTCAAAAACGCCGAAGAGATCATCCGGCAGGAAGAAGAGGAGCAAGGATCGTCCTCTGGAGCCGCGGCATGGAGAGCCCTGCTAGCTGCCTCCAAGATGCAAAAGGATGGAGCGCGCGCTATTCGATCGGCACGAAGTGTTATTCGTCTCGATGGTGGAAAGTCTCTACCTTTTATTGTATCAGTAGGCTTGTGAAAAGAAAATTCTTTGCTTAAAGCTTAAACTGAGTATATCCTTAGAAGGAATGGAAAGGCAGATTAGGATAAGATTAAGAGAATAAGAATAACTAAAGTATAGCATTAATGGTACCTCTAGTAGACTTGAACATATAAAGCACTGAAATTTAATATATAAGCACCTCCACAAGAAGGTGGATGATTCGTGTGAATTCTTACGGGAGATGGAACTCATATGCCAAGCCCTCGTGATAAACATAATGCATGCACTAGCGGCTTCACTACATCCACCATTACTCAAAAGGCAACATTGAGTCACAGGCATGAGAGGAGTGGCAAATAGTGGAGGAGATGATCGTCCAGGCAACTTATTTAAATCCTGCCACAAGACCATATGAATTGCTTCATTATAATAATAGTTTAAATTAGATTGAGACAAAAAAAAAATCCAAAAACTTATCACTAGGAAATAAATAATGCTTTTTCTATTATTAATTAAAAGCTGCATTGTAAAATATTACAGAAAAAATTAACTAAATTGATATTAAATATCATTAACTTAAACTTAAAGACATTATGATAACAAAACTCAATAACGAATTATAAGGAAAAAGATGACTTATGAATGAACAATGTCAAATATAGTCTATGTTTATTCAAAGTTTAGTATCTTTAGATAAGAAACTGTATGATTACTTTAATTAAAAAAATTTCTGTAATAAAGGAAACTGATGCTGAATAGTCTAATATTATTCTTAGTTAATTTAATAGTCTGTATGTAAATCATGTAATTTTAATAAAGAAATATTTTTCCACAATAATAATGTTAACCGCAAGAAAACTTTACTGTTTTACATAATAAGAATAATAATAATACTAATATAATATATAATAACTCATTGCAAGATATTTTTATACACCAAAAAACACTGAATCGCCAACTCTCGCTCACGCGGGCCGGTGATCCTCCTGCCCAATGCCTTTGTAGAACTCGAGCGGGATCTCTGAGTCACACACCGCGCAAGAGCAAGCGCACAAGGCATGCAGCATCAAGCACTGGAGATGGTACTCGTGGCCGCAAGACCCCAGCCGGTACCACCCCTCGCTGGAGAACCTCGCGAAGCAAACCGGGCACTCCTTCCTCTTCTCCTCCTCGCTAAACCCCGACCCCAGCGGCCGCCCCCGGAGCTCCTCCAGCGGCGTGGGAACCATCCTCGGATTATAGCTCCGCCCGCCACCATTGCCGCCACTCCGAGCTCTAGACTTGATCTCCTCCGCCTCCTTGACTCGCTCCTCCAGCTCGCGGCACCGGATCTCCGCCAGCCGGAGCTCCTTGATCGTGAGCTTGAGCCGGGGCATGATCAGATCGTTCGCCTTTCCCGACGTCCTCGGCCTCTTTGGGACGTCGCGGAACGGCAAAGACAGCGACTTGGCGGCGGCGGCGGCGGAGGTGGAGGCGATCTTCTTGGCGGCGACACGGGCGGCGCGGCGGCGGCGGTGGTTCTCGGTGTGATGCTCGTGAGATCGGGTAACCGCGGCGTAGTCCACGATTCGTTTGCCAAAGTATTCGAGGTAGCAGTAGCGGAGGAACTTGATGGGGAGGCGCGAGAGCGGCGGTTCCACGCCGTAGAGCTCCTTGTGCCGGAGCGTGGCAAGCTTCACAAACCCTGGATCGGAGCACTGGGTGCCGTCGGCGGAATGGCGCTGCGAACTCCCAAACAGCGATCGCACTCGATCCGAGCTAGCACAGCGTGTCACCGTCGCCCAGGCTGTGACCACTGGCGCCGCCCCGGGTGATTGCTCGTTCTCACCGGCATTATCGGATTTCGTGGAGCCCGTTTCATCCACCGCCGCCGCTGACGCTGCCGATGCTGCAGCCGCTAGAGAAAGAGAAGACACAGTCGTAGGGGCAATCTCACCGTCTTCCAGCTCCATTTCTCGCGAAGAACCCTAAAAAACATTTTAAGTACAGTAAATGCTATAGTCAACGGTAAAGGTAAACGACCCAAGAACCCTAAAACTTTTAGGGTTTTCGGTTTTAGGGCTCTTCGCGGGAGCGATGATCTTCAGACGGTGGAATCTCCTCACGGGCACCGCAGCTGCCTTCTCGGCTGTGCTGGGCGTCTCGATCGCCGCTGGATTGCTGCTGGTAAGCGCTCCATCCAACCCACAGCCCTAATTCTCTGTTTGGGTATTGATTCTTTGTAGCATTCTGCCCAGCAGAAGCCGCCGGCCAAAGCACAGGAGAAAGAGACGAAGAAATGATCCAATGTAAAATCGATCGAATCTAGGATCGCTCCGAAATAAAGAAGATTAGAAAGTTCTTTGTATTTTTTCCTCTCAAACCATGAGATTGTCAAATGATAATAGTTTACAAGCTTTGTCTCACAGAAAGGCATCCACCCAGCTATCATCGAAGGCGTCCTTGATGTAAACCCTACCATTCATCTCCTTGCACTCGCCATTGTTGTAGCAAACGATCGCCCTCCTGAAATCTGGGAGCTTGGCCAGCGCCAGAAGAAACGGCGCCAGTCCCTGGAGAAAGCAATCCCCGGGCGATCCCTCGAACTTCTCAGCCCTCACAACGTTCTCCCTGTACTCCTTTGGGTAGAAATCCACAAGATCGTCCAACGCAACCAGCCTCTTCAAATCCACACCACGAAACTCTCGATCGGCAAAACCCAGATCCTTGAATTTGGTTCCCTCATCGATCTTGCAGTGCCCACTATGAAGCTTTTTCCAGATCATAGTCTTTGCTGGATCCAAGTGATCAACTACGAAGTTCACATACTCCTCGACCCCAGCGCTAAACACCACCAGCCGGAAAACCTTGGAAATCCTCTTTAGAAACGCATCCACTCCGGGCCTCTTCATTATAAACAGTGGAGATTCCTCGCCCGCGCGCTCCATTGTGAAGTCTGATCCGGCCACCATGTCCGTGTGCGCGTAGACGAGCGTGTTGTCCAAGTCGAGCACCATTGTAGGCTTTACCCTTGCCATGTTTCTGAAGAACCCTAATCTCCTTTTCCATGATTTTAAAGCATTTTGCCACGTAGGACTATGAGCTGGACAATACGTTTGTTCTAGGGTTTTAGGGCGGGCGGGAATGGCGATGAAGAGCAAGGCGCGCTTCTTCGTGGCTGTTCACGTCGGCGCTGGCTACCACGCTCAATCCAATTCCAAGAACTACCGCAGGGCGATGCGGCGAGCTTGTCTGGCCGCCGCCGCGGTTCTCTCCCAGGTAGATTGCGCGATTTCTCTTGTGGGAGCTGGGGCTTGATTGATCTGATGGAAATTTTGGGAGAATGCGGCTTGTTTGCTCCCTTGGTTTCGAGTTCTTACGAAATTCTTGCGGATTCTTTAGAGCTCCGGGACCAGCATGGATGCCGTTGTGGCAGCGATCAAAGCCTTGGAGGTGATTAAGAATGCTTCAATCGTGTTCTATCTCTCATGAATTTTCCAGGATGATGAAATTACGAATGCTGGTCGGGGGTCCAATCTGACTCAAGAGGGAAACGTGGAGTGCGATGCTAGCATAATGGATGACTCGGGATCGTTTGGTGCTGTTGGTGCTACTTCAGGTAAAACCTTTGTAATTTTTTTTTTCTTCTGTTCGCTCAAGCGAAGAATTCTAGGTGTCTCAAATCCTATCGAGGTAGCTGCGCTTTTGGCTAAAGAAAGTACACACGGTTCTTCCTCGCTTGGATTAATTCCACCCATGTATGTATGATTGATTCTTCCCTGTATCATCTTAGTGTTGGGCTTCCAGTTTTATAGTTGGCGATGGCGCAAGGCAATGGGCCAAAGAGCATGGAATCGAAACCATGGAGAGTCCGGAGCATGCTGTCTGTGTTGAAAATCCGTATGCTCTGTTGTTGCTGATTACAGTGCTTCTTTTACAGCTTGTCACGAATCGATCCAAGGAGCAATGGCTCAAGTATAAGAACATGATGACAAGTATGGATTCGTCGTTTCCGAATTTCTTTTCTTACTTGGGTTGTCTTTCTTGACCAGAACAGCCAGAGAGTAATTTAAGCAGAGAGGACGTGATACAGGACACGGTTGGTGCAGTGTGCGTGGACGACAAAGGAAATATTTCGGCTGGAGTTTCTAGTGGTGGTATTGCTATGAAAGTTCGTTATTCTTCGTTTTCTTTGGATTATCATGTTGCTAATCCCCAAGAGCTGCAGGCTAAAGGTCGAGTCGGACTTGCTGCGGTGTATGGATGCGGTTGCTGGGCAACGTCAAACTTATCATCTTCCGTGGGTTGCAGCACATCAGGAGCAGGAGAGAGGCTTATCAAGTCTCTTTTGGCGCGTGAATGCTGCCATTCTGTGTGGGAGTATGTATTCGTTTGACTTTGATCGTACTTACTTCTCTGGTTGTAACAGGTCAGATGCTGGCCCCGTAAGCGTTTGCTCAGACATTTTACTGAAGCTTAATCAAGGACACTTAGCCAGTCAAAAACAGGATGCTGGGATTCTACTTCTACAGTCTTTCAAGTCATTCGTAAGTGATATATGTGGTTTAAAATCTATAATGATTGTTTTCCAGCCTAATAGATTGGAAGGAGTTGAATTCCTCGCAGCACACACTGCTCCATCATTTGGTATAGGATATTTTGCGAACTTTATGGAGCGCCCCAAGGTTTAAACATCGAGTCCGCTTCAAATGCATCTCTAATCTATTGTGTTCAAATTTACAGGCGTCGATTCTTAGGCAAAAGCCAGGTGACCACTCAGAAGTGAGAGTTTTGGCAACACGATTTTTGTTTACGTAGCACACTGTAGAGACAGTTGAATAACAGGATCAGTTGCAGCAATATCCTTGTTCTTGTTTGTGCCTTTTTCCCCCCAGGATGTCAGCACGCAACATGCAAATACTTGCTACCAGACATATCGGCGCGTTATTTCTGCGTAAGTCTCAATCTTTAAACAAAACATATGAAAATATAACTGGGATGCCTTCCTGTAGCAGATCTTCGCCTAACTTGATCTGGGAAATTTTCCTGGAGTAAGCTGGTAAGGAGCATGCAAGGGGTGTGAATCGCTTTAATTTTATAAAGCCTGTTCCGTGGTGGTGCATCAGAGAGAAACAGACGTTTTGAGAAGCCAAATTCCGCGTTGCATTCATAGCAGCGATGTGATCGGGCCGCTAGCGACACTAAGAAGTAAGATCAAACACATCTCTTTGCTAATTTTGGGTATAACAAGCTGCACGTGATTTCATTGTGCAGGGACAGAGGGGTCAGGACCTCTCACGCTAAGTGCTCTACACAAGAGATGGCATTCATTCCGCACCGTCATACAAGCGCGAAAAGAAAAGGCTGGCCCGTCTGGCTCTGGTGGTGCTTGAAAAAGCAGGAGACCGTCTTTCCACGGAGGAGGGTCGTCGTTTTGCAGCGGCTTCTAGATTCTCTCAGTTCTCTTCCACCGTGGAACGTGGCTAAAGAGTGGAAGACAAGAGAACGAAGCTGATAGAGTTTTGCTCCCCTCGCCAGGAACCGAGGCCACTGGTAGTGGTCATTTCCTAACGCGAGCCACGAGGTTGAGGCAGGACAGTGGTGTGCATTGAATGCAAGAGTGCTGCTGTTACGACTGAGAGCGAGGTAACTTCTAGAGCAGGAAAAGCAGTGTCTTATTACCTCGTCTTTTCTTCCCATCCTAGAAGGAGCGAGAAGAGCGCCGCATCAAGAAGAGCGCAGCAACAAGAAGAGCGCCGTTGACAACAACGATCCTGGTTACTCCTTCAGCTGTGGAGACTGGTGAGTTTTATCATGAACTCTCTAGCAGCATTCTTCGCTGCTCTTTCCGGCAAGTACTTAGCTCGATCATTAGGAGGAGGTGCTAGAATGAAGACTTACAGGGGAATGCTGCTCCTTTCAGTGATGCTAGTAGCTACATTGTCTTGGGCAGCAAGGGAAACAAGCGAAGTCATGGAACCGGCGCACCATTGTCCGGACCACGACGACGGCGATTATTACAGGTGCAGAGGTAGATTTAACGGGGGTGGAGGTCCCAACATCGGTGATGGAAGTGGCGGTAACTTTGGTGGAGGCAACGGCGGTAACTTTGGTGGTGGTGGAGGAAACTTTGGAAACGGGGGAGGGCCTGGTTCCAACTTTGGGGGTGGAACTGGGGGGAGCTTTGGAAATGGCGGTGGTGGCCCGGGTTCCAACTTCGGGGGTGGTGGAAGCTTTGGGAATGGAGGTGGTGGCCCGGGTTCCAACTTTGGAGGTGGTGGTCCGGGTTCCAATTTTGGAGGTGGAAGTGGAGGGAGTTTTGGCAATGGAGGTGGTCCGGGTTCGAACTTTGGTGGTGGAAGTGGAGGGAATTTTGGCAATGGAGGTGGTCCGGGTTCTAACTTTGGTGGTGGAAGCGGAGGGAGTTTTGGCAGTCCTGGAGGGAACATCGGCAGTGGAGGAGGCAGCGGAATTGGTGGTGGAAGCGGAGGGAGTTTTGGCAGTCCTGGAGGGAACATCGGCAATGGAGGAGGCAGTGGAATTGGTTTTGGTAGCCCGAATGCTGGCGGAGGTGATGCGTCTGGGAGCAGCGGTGGTAACTCAGGTCTAAGAATCGGTTTCTACTCGTCATCGTGTCCAAATGCGGAGAGCATTGTGCGAGCTGCCTTCTCTGGAAATTTTATTACCGATCCAACAGCACCCGCAGCACTCCTTCGGCTGGCTTTTCACGACTGCCAAGTCGGGGTAAGCATTTTTCTCGTTTCCTTTTCATGCTTTTTTATACGTTTTGTTCTACAGGGTTGCGACGCGTCCATCTTGCTCGACTCGAAAGGTTCCATCAAAAGCGAGAGAGACTCGGACAAGAACTTTGGCATCCGCCGCTTGGATTTCATCGACAGGATCAAGTCGATGCTGGAGGCTGCCTGTCCGGGAGTCGTCTCGTGCGCGGACATCATCGTTCTGGTGGCCAGAGAATCCATCGTCTTCACCGGAGGCCCGACAATCCCCGTGCTCACAGGAAGAAGAGATGGCACAGCCGCTTCCAACGCCGCAGCCGACAGGCTGTTGCCTCCAGCAACCGTAAGCGTCGACAACTTCATCAGCCTCTTCGCATCCAAGGGCCTCTCTCTCGACGAAAGCGTTGCAATCATCGGTACGTTTCAAGGCTTTTCTTTCCAGCAAACTTTCCAAGGACGATTGATCCGAACTTCTGTACTTTTGCATTCCAGGAGCTCACACAATTGGAGTTGGGCACTGCGTCAACATTGTGAATCGGCTCTATCCAAACCAGGACAGTAAGATCGGCCTCCTGTTCGCGAGCCGGCTGAGAGTCCAGTGCCCGACGGCCAATCCCCGGATGCTCAACAACATTACAGTGATCAACAACGATATGACCAACCTCGTGTTTGACAACCAGTACTTCCGGGACCTTATGAACGGGCAGGGGCTCTTCACCATCGATTCGGAGCTTGCGCTGGACAGCCGCACGTCGCCAGTGGTGGCGCGCTTCTCCACGAACCAGCAGCTCTTCCTCGACACATTCTCTTCGGCTTTCGTCAAGCTCACGTCCAGCAATGTCTTGACGGGACAGAGTGGACAGGTTCGAAAGTACTGCCACTCGGTGAACTAGATTTATAGAGTATTGGGAGACGCCATTTTGGATGTTGCTTCTTGTTCAGAGTTTAGAAGTTGCATTTGGCTTCCACAAATATTCTATGGAGTTGTAGAATTAGTCTTTTGACTTAGCACTTATATGATATTTATGTTATTTTGGAAGATTTTGTTTGAGTAAAATTATTATTGAGAAAAAACAAGAGGTTTGTCATTTCAAAGTAGAATTTGTAAAAACTTTCCACTTTTCCATGAGAAGAACATGTAAGTTCAATTATTATCTTTGACTTTGTTTTAAAGATTATTTCTTGAGATAGCAAATAAACAAGAATGTATTGAAAAATAATTTTAAAGAATTCATAAAATAAAGTTAAAATTTAATGTTTTAAATTTGTATCAAGATTGGAAGATTTTGAAGTAAACCTCCCCAAAGTTATTGTTATTATTTTATATTGTTGTGGTATATATTTTACTAACAATATATTAATTGCAGAGATGAACAATTACTTGATACATATTGAAGGGAAGGATCCGATTTGCCCTCATGCCCAACTAAAGTGAGTGAAAGGTGTAATCTTGAACTTTGAAAAATAATTAAATTAAATTTCTTTCAAAAGTAAATTAAAACTTCAAAAAACAACTAAAAACATAACTTTTAATTTTTAAAATTAACAATTATATTAATTATTCTAAAAATATCATGTTCATGGCCAATTATGTATTTATAAATTAAAATTTCTTTGCAATTAACCTTTTAATCTTTATAATATATAAAAGCATCACTCACAGCATAAATATTAAAATAAAGAATGGGTTAACTTTTATTTGATGTAATGCCATTAATTGTTATTCCCTTTTGTCTATTTAGTTTCACAAATTTAATCTTGCTATATTTATTTATATTTTATTTTCAAAATTTAAATTAATATTAAAGTTGTGAGGCTTTTTATTATTATTGTAGTAAAATTTAATATCGAAAGGAGTTGTATTAAGGATAACTCTCAATTAATTATGCCTATAAAGTGTAATGTGGATTCCCATTTCACAACATCATTCCAACTAAAGTTTAAAGTTTTCATAATTATAATTAATATTACAATTCATCCTTTTAATTTTAATTAAACTAATTAAAAAGGCACCTTTTCGAAAATAAGTATAAATCTGTGGACCCAGAATGTGTACACTAGGGTTTATTGCATCATGAAGAGGAAGGCACAGGACGCAGAGATCCCCATGCTCGATGATCTGGAAGACGAGGTCCAAGGCGACGGATGGGAGTACGAGGGAGGCTTGGCTTGCCCTCCTTGGGACCCGGAAGCTCTCAAAAGCTTCTGTGCCATGGAGGACTGGTGTGGAGAGCCGGTGATGGCGAGAGTCAAGCCCAAAGAGCCCGCGAACAAGCCCAAGATTTCGAGCAATCCCGAGAGGCCAGAGACTCTGAGCAAGCCCAGTTCGAGCGAGCCCAAGAGGCCCAAGACTCCAAGCGAGCCCAAGCGGCCAAATATTTCGAGCGAGCCCAAGAGGCCCAAGACTTCGAGCGAGCCCAAGCGGGCAAAGGCTTCGAAAAGCTGTGGTGGTGAGGCCAAGACGAGGAAGAACGCGTCCGCAAAGGTGACGCCCGAGCTGCGAGCGCTGCTAGCGAAGGTGAGGGCTACGCTGCCCGAGCAAATCGACTGCCCGTGGTGTGGGCGCATCTGGTGCACGAGGTTCTACGATTTCAACAATCACAAGCCTGGGCAGCCCCGGTACCATTGTAAGCCATGCAAGCGGACCTGGACCAAAGACAAGGTGCCAAGGCCAAGGAGCAAAAGGCCAGCATTCTAGACCATCGATCCACATGTTTCTTCTCACCTTAGATCAAAGAATCATATACAAGGGAATTTGATTTACCAGAGTTTCTAGCTTACCTGGGCTGAGCTTAAAGGTGCCAGCGTTCTGTTTTTTTTTTTGTTTTTTTCTTTTCCTCGTTTCTTCATTTCTTGGCGTACCTCTGCGTTTTTTTTCCAACACTGACTCAGAGTATAAAGCAAGACCAATGTAAGGCAGAGTATTGCAACTTCAAACAGTGAGTATTTAATAATTTGCTTCCCAAGTGCGAGAAACAACTGTACGTTTATACGTTTTTATACGTTTTGTTCTATAGGGTTGCGACGCGTCCATCTTGCTCGACTCGAAAGGTTCCATCAAAAGCGAAAGAGACTCGGACAAGAACTTTGGCATCCGCCGCTTGGATTTCATCGACAGGATCAAGTTGATGCTGGAGGCCGCCTGTCCGGGAGTCGTCTCGTGCGCGGACATCATCGTTCTGGTGGCCAGAGAATCCATCGTCTTCACCAGAGGCCCGACAATCCCCATGCTCACAGGAAGAAGAGACAGCACAGCCGCTTCCAACGCCGCAGCCGACAGGCTGTTGCCTCCAGCAACCGTAAGCGTCGACAACTTCATCAGCCTCTTCGCATCCAAGGGCCTCTCTCTCGACGAAAGCGTTGCAATCATCGGTACGTCTCAAGGCTTTTCTTTCCAGCAAACTTTCCAAGGACAATTGATCCGAACTTCTGTACTTTTGCATTCCAGGAGCTCACACAATTGGAGTCGGGCACTGTGTCAACATTGTGAATCGGCTCTATCCAAACCAGGACAGTAAGATCAGTCTCCTGTTTGCGAGCCGGCTGAGAGTCCAGTGCCCGACGGCCAATCCCTGGATGCTCAACAACATTACAGTGATCAACAACGATATGACCAACCTCGTCTTTGACAACCAGTACTTCCGGGACCTTATAGCGCGCTTCTCCACGAACCAGCAGCTCTTCCTCAACACATTCTCTTCGGCTTTCGTCAAGCTCACGTCCAGCAATGTCTTGACAGGACAGAGTGGACAGGTTCGAAAGTACTGCCACTCAGTGAACTAGATTTATAGAGTATTGGGGAGATGCACTTTTGGATGTTGCTTCTTGTCAAGAGTTTAGAAGTTGCATTTGGCTTCCACAAATATTGAATGGAGTCAGCACTTACATGTTATTTTGGAAGATTTTGATAGAGTAAAATTATCATTGAAAAAAAACACAAAAATATTTTGAAAAATAATTTTAAAGAATTCATGAAATGAAGTGAAAATTTAATGTTTAAGATTTGTATCAAAATTAGAAGATCTTATAATAAACCTTTCCAAAGTTATTATTATTATTTTATATTGTTATGGTATGTAATTTACTAGTAATATATTAATTGCCGAGATAGATTGGTGGATATGGAGGAAAAGGATTTAGTTTGCCCTCAATAAGCCAGCCAAAGTAAGTGGGAGGAGTAATTTTGAACTTTGAAAAAAAAAATTTCTTTCAAAATTAAATTTGTGAGTGCATGGAATATGGAAAGGGAATACATGTGCATATCAATTAGCCCAAAAACCCTAGCATATATACAGGAGCGAGTGGTTCGGATTGAAACCAATCTGACGGCTACCAAAATCCCACTATGCTAATATTAATATACAGCATCGTAACCGTACACTTGGCCCTCATATCATCCCCTCCTCTCAGAATAATGGAAGACCATCAGGGTTCTCTTGTAGACGGGCCGGGATCTGGAGGAACATCAAGAGGAGGCATCGGTGGTTCTGTAGATGGTATTAACCGCTCCTGATCCCTTTGTATGAAGCGTTTCAACCATTGCACATGCACAATCTTTGGAGGATTAGCCTGCTGGACGTCATGCCGAACCTCATAAACTTGTGGTTCAACTTGCTGCAACACACAATACGGTCCTTTCCACTGTGCAAGGAGCCCCTTAGATAAACCACATACCGTAAGATGGGGAAAACGGACTAACACCAAATCATCCACTTTGTACTCCGCAGGTGGACGATGATGGGAGTTGTAGCGCCGTTGTTGTCCCACTTGTACGCAGTCTAAGTGTTCGGCAGACTCTGCTCGGACAAGTGGAAGAATGCTAGTCAAATATTGATCCCATGATCTAGCATCCGCAACTCATGGCAATCGCGAAGGTAAACTCAGCTCCGTTGGTAATATTGGATCATGACCATATAAGAGTTTATATGGTGAAGCACTAACAGAACTCTACACCCCAGTGACATATGCATACCAAAGAGACGGCAAATAACCATCCCAATCCGAATGCTGAAAGTTCACATACTTTGCAATCATCCCCTTGAACGTCTGAACGAGCCGTTCCACCAGACCGTCTGATTGTGGATGATAAACACTCGTGAAAGTGTGGCAAATCCCCAACCGAGACGTCAAAACATGAAATGCCTCAGCCATAAATGCGGGACCATTATCTGAAAGAATCCGCTCTGGACAAGAATGTTAGAACACCACTCGATTGAGGAGGAAGTATCCAACAGCAGTTGTAGAGGCACTAGCAAGAGCACCAACTTCCATCCAACGAGTCAAATAGTCAGAAGCAATAATAACATACTCATTGCCAGTAATCGACCATGGAAAAGGTCCCATAAGATCAAATGCCACCAACTCAAACGGACGGGAAATTGCAATTGACTCCAACCGTCCTTCCGCTGCCGGAGGGGGAGTATTACGAGCTTGGCACCAAATGCAGCTACGCACATACCAGATAATATCACGTTGCATCTCCGGCTAATAGAAAGACCTGCGTAGCTTCTCGATTACACGGCGATGTCCCATATGCCCACCTAGAACAGGAGAATCATGGTAGGCATGGAAAAACTACAGAATAAAGATAGAAGGCACCACCAGCCGTAAATGATCATCAAAATCTGTCCCCACAAAATAAAGAAGGCCATCTTTAAGACGATATTGAGAATGTAAATGCCGAAAAGGCAAGTCATCAGCAAGTGATGCAGGATTCTCAAACCCATCTCGAAGCCTTTGAATCCATGGCTCAATCTTTTGAGCCTCGCAAACCTCATCAAGCGAAGGTAGATCTTGCTCTGCACCTTGTGGACACTGAACATCAAGTATAGCAACTGCCGAAGGCACAGAATCCTTGTCTAGAAAATCCACAGATGCTGGAACAATAGGCTCATTAGAAATATGAGAGGAGAGTGAAGAAGGAAGAGGAGCTCGAGAAAGGGCATCAACATCAGCCATAAAACTCCCTGGGCGGTGAATAACATCAAAATCATATATGTGAAGCTTCAAAGCCCACCGAGCAGTACGACCAACTAGGTTCTTCCGCTTTAATAATGAAGTAACAGCAGCATGGT